GCTAGTATTCTTGCAGACATATGGGATGCTGCAGTGAAATGAGTGAGAATTGTTCTCAGACTGGGAACTTCTTTCACAACGTGGAAGGCAGAGATACTGGAAAAAAGCAGGAGGGACAGTCGCTATGAAAATGTCACATCCTTTCTTTCAAAACAGGGCAGAAACTGTATAATTTCATTCTCTTTCCTACTGTTTCAAAATTCATGACCGTAAGAGGTGAATTTTCAGCTCTATTGTGGTTAAAGTCATATATCAATAGGGTGCTGCTGTGACAGGACTCTTAGGACATAGATTTATGTTCTCATCGGGATTGGATTAAACTTGGAAGGTATGTGTAGGCATATCTTGGAAAAAAACCAACCATAAGCTGATAGCTCTAAAATGCAAGAAAACCAAAATCTGTTTGAGAAACAGAAGCAGGTATCTTTCTTTTAAAGTTTTGTCACTGTGTCCTCTTTGTGGATTCTGTAGCACTAAGATACTCAAGTCACTGAGGGGTTCCTGGTCAGCCCTAGGGTGGGTGTGCCTAGCCAACATCTAGAGGTAGATGTGGACACATTTTAATAGTATCAAATGAGCAAAATCAGAACTGACTACCATTTCCTTACTCCTCCCACTTCTTAAATACGTTTATCCAGAGTTTAAATGGGGAAATATGGGTATAGAAGTTTTATTCTAAATTGTTCTTTAATACGAGGCTATATTGTGGGTTTGGGTGTAAATAATTTTCTGTGCAAAACAAATTAATAGACAGGATCTGTGGTTTGCTCAGAGTATTGTTCAGTAATATAGTAATAAGACATTTCTCCCTGTTGCACTCAGGACTAAATATATCAAATGAAATTTAAGGAGGAAATGGAAGAATTCAGGTACATCCATTGCATATTATTTGAGGAAAGATGAATCCTACACATGGCAGTTTTTCAGTGTCACCTGAACAAGTTCTTCCAAGGAAATTCATCTTTTCTTTTCCTTAAAAAAAAAAGACTTCTGGCTTTTTCCTTTGCACCCACCATATTCCTTCAGCATTCATTCTCCATGGTCCCTGTATTCTTATTTGACCAGTAAATGACCACACCTCAATGGCAAGAAAACAGCATCTGTCGGTGAGCTGATAGGAGTTACCTTGTGAGCTTGAGCTTCAGGAAACATGAGTAAAGGCTTATGGATGTATATAGTCATATATGTATTGTAGCGAGAAAAAAAATGTATTTATTTTGACACAGGGAAACACTGACTTATGTTGCTGAAGAACTTGAAGCTAGTGAAAGGGTCTTTCCTCCGTCTCTGAGAGTGGCCCCAAGTGACATAAGGACCATCCAGCAGGCAGCTGCTGGGTAGCTTTGGTGAGCCAGCCGTGGCTTGGCACGAGAGTGAGCGACGTTGTGAAAGTGTTGTCCAGGGGAAGGCCAGTTTTTCTCCCTTTGAGGCCTCGACTCTGGGTTGAAGGAGCAGGGGCCGGGTACTCCACTGCCACAAGCTTTTAAGGAACGAAGGTGTTACAAACACAAAATGTAAGGGGGGGGGGGCAGAGAGCTAGGAGTAATTGACCAGGAAGCTAATTTATTTGCTGAAAAGGATGGTATAGGAGTCACTACCCTCTGTTTTGATCTGCCAAGGATTTCCTCTCAGAGCTGTTGCACAACTAGGGGTTGGGCTTGGTAAGACACCAAATGGGACCGACAACGCACCTAAATTTCTAATGTGTTCTGTGGGTTTCAATTCTGAAAAAGAAAAAAAAAGAAAACGAATAAAGATTTTAATAAGTATTGTCCCCTTCTTTGAAGCTGTTTTCTGTTCCAAATTTCCTGTTTTTTTAGGGTACAGAAAAGGAGGACATCTTCTGCACCTACTTCAACTTCCATAGGGATCGCTTCACGGTATCTGATGGGGAAGACCTTTACACTGCCTCACTAGTCTTCAAAAGGCCTATCCCAGGTTGTGACTCTAGAAGTTTCCAGTGGATAATTCTTTGGAGCTTTTTGTATACCTAGTAATTCAGCCCATTCTTGCAGCTTCTTTAGAAGTAAAGAATTACAAATGGTGAAGAACTTGTCAGCACAGTACCTTAAAGACACGGAGGAGACCAGGGCCCTGATTATTATTCTTAGGAGAGCCACATTTTTAAGTTTTGAAATAGAAATCCAACATCATCAACCTCAACTAGATAAAGCAGATTTAAGTTTTTACTTGGTTTGGCACATTTTTGTTGGCGCTTTTTGCTTTTTGTCATGTGCACATGGATGCCAGTGGAAGGCTGCGCCTAGGACATGTTCTTCGCTGACTCACCACTTCTGACCCTTCCCCAGGTGCGAGTCAGGCGTTGTTCACTTCTCAAGCATATTATCCGAAAGACTGGTATTAAAGCTTGACAAACGTAGCTGGGACTAGGGAGGGTTCATGAAGTGTTCGGACCTGAGTAAACAGTGGGGCCTGGAGTCCCCTCAGAGAACTGACAGTCCCCACACAAGGGAACCAAGTGTGTCAGGAATGATATATATGAGTCACAGTAGAAATAAAAAGCAGAAACAAATCCTCCGGGGTCAGGAGGGTGAGCGGGAGGCAGAACCTACATTGAGGAAGGGGGGGGGGGGGGTGATGTAGGCTTGACATGTGTGCAGAGGCCGGACTTCCATAGCGCACGGCCTCGGGGGCCTGTACCCTGTTTGAGCGCCTCGGGCTATGGGAAACCCTGGGAAGCTTTTCATCAGGTGTGCCCCGTCTGGAGCGTCCAGAGTGGTGTTTCGGTTGCTCCTTAGTGTAAACGTTAAAGGAGCCACTAGTGTATAGATGAGCTGTGGAACATTGATTTTATATTTTCAGTTTGCTTTTAACATGTCAAGTTTAATTGGAGATAAAGGTTTGACTTTACACAAAGGCTGTTTTCAGGACAGAGCTGACTGCCTCCAGCAGGCCGGGAAGCTATCTGTGGCAAAGCTTGGTGCCATTTCGATGACCTTGGTATGGGTGTGTGTGCCCGTTTTCTCTTAGACTTTGTTAAAATGCAGATTTTGATTGAGTAGGTTTGAGGCCAGAGATTCTGCGTTTCTAACAAGCTCCTGGGTGATATCAATGCTACTCGTCCCTGGACCCCACACGTGAGTAGCACCAAGAGGAGTTTACTTGCTAAGCAATCAGGGTGACGGCGGATAGTTTTCACAACGGCCTCTAGAGGTCGCCATCACCTGTGAGATCTTGCTCCTCGACGTAGAACCAACTGCCTCTAAGCCCTGAGAATGAAAGGTTAGCAGTTTATTGAAACCAGAGGCTTGTCTAAAAACTGGTTTTTGGATCTATTGTTTCTATGTGGAACTGACAATGGCAAAAACAAACAAAAAAAAAAGTTTACCCTTAGGAAAAGAAAGCGTTTTCTTAATATCTTTATTTATTTATTCATTCATTCATTCAGAGACAGAGACACAGGCAGAGGGAGAAGCAGGCTCCATGCCGGCAGCCGGACGTGGGACTCGATCCTGGGTGTAGCAGGCTGCGCTAAACTGCTGCGCCACCAGGGCTGCCCAGAAAGCGTCTTACTGAAATCAAAATGTCCAAGATTTTTCCAGCTACCTACTTTATTTACCACTAAATCCTAAGAAATTCAGATCAGAACACTGCAGAAATTAGCAGTTAGTCCTACATGAAAGTTAAGAGTAAAACTTGTAAAGTTTCACCTAAACTTGGGGTTTTAAAAGAAACTAGTGTTACTATTAGTTTTATCACCATAAATTCACTTGTAAGCACCGCTACTATAAATCCGTTAAGCCTGTGTAGACCATCCAGAGCCTTATCCAGGGTAGGGGGCATATAGAATAAAAATCATGGGGGGATCCCCAGGTGGCTCAGCGGTTTAGCGCCTGCCTTGGGCCCAGGCATGATCCTGGGGTCCCGAGACTGAGTCCCACGTCGGGCTCCCTGCGTGGAGCCTGCCTCTCCCTCTCTTTCTGTGTCTCATGAATAAATGAATAAAATCCTTAAAATAATAATAAAAATCAGCATGTAACGGAACAAGCTCATTAACCCTCCGCCCCCGGCGAGGGGCTGTTTTATTAGGCCGTCGGACGGGTGGGGAGTCGGGCAGGCGTGGGGCAAATGAGGCCAAGGCCACACGGAGAAAATGCAGGAGTCTGAATCACTACGCTGGGTCGCCGACCGTGCCCCTTCACTGAAGAGCAGTTCGTGTTTTCTGGTCCCAAGTAAGCACAGAAGTTGCTCTCCGTGACCTGCCCGACGGCCTGGGCGCGGGCCAGGCGGGGCCGGGGAAGGGACCTCCTGCAGGCTTCGCCGCACCGCGTGCTCCCAGGTGGCCCGGGCAGGCGGCCGCGCGTCCCGACACGTGCTTACCTGCCTCCCGCCGCTGTCGGAGCGTCGCGACGCGGCCCCGAGGTGCTGAGGGGCCTGGCGCGGCCGGTCTTCCGGTCTGCAGAAGCCTCCCCGGAGCCCCCGCGCCCGCGCCCGCGCCCGCGCCCGCGCCACTAGGGGCAGCGCCACGACCGGGGGCAGCGCCCCGGCCCCAGGACACGGTGGAAGTCCCTCAGGACTCGGAAAGCTGCACGGAGCGCGCGGCAGAGCTGCCGAGCAGGCCGCTGTGGTGCGGGCGGCGTCCCGGGCAGGCGCCCGGCCTCCGGGGCGCTCCCCGCCACGAGCGGCGTGGCCAAGCCCGCGGCCTCACTCGGCTCCGGCTCCGGCTCCGGCCTTCCCCGGGGCGGCGTCCCGCAGCCCCGCGCCTCCGCCTCGGGTGGCGCCCCGCTGGGCCCGCCCCCCGCCCCGCACCCGGGGCAGGGCAGGGCGGAAGCCGCGGCTGCCGGAGGGACGCTCGGCGGCCCGGCTGCTCCCTCCCGGCGGCCGCAGGCTCCGCGCACGAGCGCGCGTCCGGAAGCGAGCCCCGGCGCTGGGCGGCGCCTGCGGGCGGCCTCGGGGCGGCCTCGGGGCGGCCTCGGGGCGGGCCTGGGCCTCGCTTCCCGCGGCGGCGGCGGCGGCGCCCACCCCGGCCCCGGCCCGGGAGCGCCGAGAGCGGGGAGGCGGGCGGCGGGCGGCGCGAGGGCCATGCCGCGCCTGCGCCCGCGCCCCCTGCGGCCGCCGCCGCCGCTGCCGCTGCTGCTGCTGCTGCTCCTGCTCCTGCCGCGGCCCGGCGCCCCGGGAGCCCGCGACGACGCGAGCCCGCCGGACGGGGCCCGGGAGCCGCTCCAGGGCCTGCGCGAGCGGCTGAGGGCGGCCGCCGCCCTGTCCCGGCGCTACTGGGCGCTCCTGCGCTGCCGCGTGTGGCCCGACGACTGCGAGCGCGACGGGGAGGCTCGCGCGGCGCCCCCGGGTGAGAGCGGCCGCCCGGGCTCCGCGGGCCGCGGGGGAGGGGCGGGGGAGGGGCGGGGGCGCCGCCGTCCCAGCCCTGCGGCCGCGGCCACCCCCGGGGCCCCCGGCTGCGCCCCCCCCCGACGGCCCACACCTCCCCGGGCCCCAGCCGGGCCTGCCCTTCCCCGCCGGCTGCGCGGCTTGGAGGACGCGACCCCAGCACCTCCCCGCTGAGGCCTGCCCCGTGTCCCGGGCCCCACGCTGTCTGTCACTGACAAGCGGTGCTGGCAGGGTTGTCGCCTCGCTGTCAAGGACCGGGTGATCCCCGAGGCTCCTCGCAGTCCTTGGGGATAATTCTAGGGCCCTAGTGCTCGCGGGGTGGCAATCCTGCGGGCTGCCGGAACGTCTTCATCTACGTCAGAAGATTTCTAAATCCCAGGGGGTTTTGTTGTGTTGCGTTTTTGGCTAATGCCGAGTATATTCGAATTGGCATTTGACAAAAGAATGGAGAGGCCCTTGGGGTTGTCTGTGGTCGCGTGATTTTGGGATTCAAAGCAAGTGGGAAGAAGGACCATCGCCAGCTGCTGTTTGTCTCCCTGCCGACTGCAAACTCGTGGGCAGGCCTGGGGCTTGTGGCACGCAGGGCTTGAGGCACATTCGTGGAGTAAGTTGAACCTTCGAGGGAGCTGTACTCCTAACAAGGGCCATCTCCCAACTCAAAGTTGGGGGTGCCCACTCCTGCCCATTCCCCCGCAAGGAGTGAGGAAGGCCCAGGGAAGAGCAGTGAGGAGTAGCGCTGGAGGGAGGATTGAGGACAAGAACTGCTCAGCTTGGTTGCAGGGAGACAGTGTCCACCTTCCCCGAGGCTCTGGGCTCCGTCCCGGTCTCACAGCTCCCACTTTTCCAGGCTGGAGCCTTCCCCTGTTGGGCCAGCAGTACCTGGCCATCCTGACCTCGTGGTACTGCAGCTTCCAGGATTGCTGCGACAGTGGGGACTGCAGGATCTCCAACAACTTCACAGGTTGGACCTTGCGTGGCCCTAAGGCTGGGGCCAGGGGCACTGCCAGGGTGCAAGGGACTTTGCATCATCCTGCCCATAGCCGACAGCACATCCTCCGTGCCCCACTGTGGCTCCCGGAGCCCCCGTATCCAAGCCCTGTAACCTCATAGCTGGAAGGAAGGAGGGGCTAGCAGAGGACTTGGAACACACTCGCTGTCCTCGACGGGTGTTTGCTGAATTGAATGTATTTGTGTGAGGGGATCCCCACAAAGCAGTTGGGAGGTCCTGAAACATCTGGGTGGGAGCACCTTCATGGGCCGGGGGAATGGGGTTTCTTCTCCAGGCAGGATTCTGCCAACCATTCTGGGGTGTCTTCAGGACCCTTGGAAAAGGTGATTCCCTTCTCTGCCTAAATCCGATCTTCCAAAGTAGCCTTTGAATCCCTCCAGGCTGCAGGGTCTGCCCAGTGGTTTCTTATTCTGAGGCCAGGCAGTTTGAATAGGTGACTGCCCCCCCCCCCTTGCCCCCTTCCGCCCAGAGATGTTCAGAGGTACCCGGTCTCTCAGCCGTTGCTGAGCCTGGTGGTGGGGATGGCACTTGTATGCACCTCACCGTGGCTCCCTCTTCCCGGCTGCTAGGCCTAGAATCGGACCTGAGCATACGACTGCACGGCCAGCACCTGGCCCGGGAGCTGGTCCTGACCGCAGTGAGGGGCTATCTGGAGCTGCCCCGGCCAGACAAGGCCCTGGCACTGTCCTTCCACGGCTGGTCTGGCACGGGCAAGAACTTCGTGGCACGGTTGCTGGCAGAGAACCTGTACCGGGACGGGCAGAGGAGTGACTGTGTCAAGATGTTCATCGCCACCTTCCACTTTCCTCACCCGAAGTACGTGGACCTGTACAAGGTGAGGCCGGCCAGTGCTGGGGAGCTTTGCCGGCACAACTGGGGCTGGAAAGAGGCTCCAACAACCCGAGTTGTGGGCTTCTGGCACTGGAGGGAAAGCCTTGAAATCAGCCCTGCCCTGCCAGGAAGTGGCCTCGGAGAAACGTGGGCATAGGGATTGGTGGCCCTTGTGATGGGACCTGTAACCCTCAGAGACACCCACTCCACAGAGATGAGGGCCTTCGCATGTGGAGGAAAGATTCACATTCAAACACCACGTGTCTTGGGCTCTGTCTCCTTACCAGCTGTGCTTGAGACCAGACGAAGCTTAAACAGAAAATCCACGCATTAGTTGTCCCTTCCAGAAGTAGTGGTAATGTTGCAGGAAATGTGTAGAACAGAGAAAAGCAAAAACCTGATCATTATCGCCACACACAGACACAACCACGGTTAGCATTTTGGTGTGCTTCCTTCAAGTTTTATATCATTGTGATTAATGTTAGTGAAAAAGTTGCATATTCTGCTTTGAGGTGGGGGTGGGGGGTGAGAGGGAGGGAGAGGGGGAGAATCTTAAGCAGGCTTCACACTGGGTGTGGAGGGCTCAATCTCATGACCCTGAGATCATGACCGGAGCTGTAATCAAGAGTCAGATGCTTAATGGACTGAGCCACCCAGGTGCCCATATCCTGTGTTTTTTGTTTGTTTGTTTTTTTAAAGGAAGCCATAGCATGTAAGGTTTTCCATGTCTTCTCCAAATGACCAACAAGTAGATGAACAAAAATTGTCCTTGCCACCTCTGCTATTTTGGGTTCCTTCCATTCAGACACGTAGTATTTCAAATAAGCCAGACAATGACCAAAGCCCCATTGCAGTGGGACAGAGGTCACCACATCTCTCTTTGGCTTGCGGGCCCACTGTCCGTGGTGCATTAACCCAGGAAGATGATGTAAGCCCCCGAGGATAGAGACTGCCTGAGTCACCTGGCAGCCGCCGTGCGGTGTGGGAGGGCAGAGTTTGGGTGAAGCGTCCTAAGGGCTGGTGGCTGGCGACTAGTCAGCCAGGCCTGCCCAGTTAGAACAGACTGGCTTTGTGCAGAACTGCTGTGGATCTCAGCTGCCCCGCTGTGAGAACTGACGTGTGCACGCTGTCTCTCACCGCTGCACATCTTCTCATACACACACACATTTGGGTCAGAATCAGGAAGGTTAGAGGTGGCTAGAGTGTGTTCTCTGCTGACACCCCCGCCTGGCACAGGAGCTGGCCCTGTTCTCCTGGCGAAGCCGGCAGAGCGGCATGTGTTCAGCTGAGAGCTTTCAGCGATCTTGCTTGGGGTGGGGTACCCCAGGTGCCAGTTAGCCAAGTCCCAGACAGGTCTCACCCAGGCTTCTCCCCTGAGATCTCAGCCTAGCCCGGGTGCTAGGGAGCACTCTGCTCCTGGGAGTTCCAGATGGGGGACTGTGCCACGTCCAGGCACTTGCACCTGCTCTGCCTACCTCCCCTATATTAGAGCCTGACTCCTACCCCTAGGGAGGGTGATTGGACGTTTGTTTTGGGATGGGACCTCATCTGGAACGGCAGGGAGCGCAGCTAAGGCTGGGGCCTGTTTCCAAGGCCAGCCAAGCCTTCTTCCTCTCCACAAACCTCAGGGTGCATGAGAATCACCCTGGAAGCTCATTACAGATGTGAGCCCTAGGCCCACCCCCAGAGGTCTGGATTGATAGTCGTCAGATAGGACCCCAGGTGATCCATTGCAGATGCTCAGTCAGGGCCCTCAGGCCTGGAGGGTGGGAATGAGCTTCCCCCGCTCCCTGTATTCCCTGCAGGAGCAGCTAACGACTCAGATCAAGAAGACGCAGGAGCGCTGCCACCAGACCCTGTTCATTTTCGATGAGGCTGAGAAGCTGCATCCAGGACTGCTGGAGGTCCTCAGGCCACACCTGGAACGCCAGGCTCCCGAGAACCACAGGGCTAAGTCCCGGAAAACCATCTTTCTTTTTCTCAGGTGAGGTCAGGAACAGTAGTCCGGAGGGCTGGGGAAGGGGCAGGGGAACGCTCTGTCTCCAGGTATGCCAGCTGTGACCTGGCAGTCAGCTGACGAGGATGGCTTCCACGCTCTCCCAGGCCGCAGACCCTCTTTCGCAAGGGAAACCCAACACAGGCTCCAGTACAGAAAACACAAGCCTCATTGCTTGGGTCGTAGCAGCGGTGGGGAGCCGGAGGTGTCTGGGGTCCTGCCCTGATCCTACCGCCAAGGTCCTTGGAAGGACTCTGCCTCCCACCCCTCCCCTGCCCCATCGCAGACAGGCCACCTGAGGAAGAGCAACTGTCCGTCATCTATCCTCCCCCCTCTCCATGGCTGTCTTAGAGTGCTGAGGCTCCCTTTATACTCCCTAGGGTGCATACCCGCCCCCCCCCCAGGGACCATTCACACACTAGGAATCCCCTCTTAGAAGGGCACTTGAGGGTTTTTTTGTCTTTTCTTTTGATGTATAATTGACACACAGCATCAGTTTCAGGTGTGGTACGTGAGTCAATACGTAAGTCACGTATTATGAAATGATTGCAGTAAGTCTGGTTAACACCCGTCATCATACATAATTACACAACTTTTTTCCTGTGATAAGAACTTTCAAGATCTACTCTCTTAGCAGCTTTCAAATATACAATGCGGTATTATTAACTACGGTCGCCAGGCTGTGCTTTACATCCCCTGACTTATTATTTATCACCACCGGCCTCTGGCAACCAGCAATCTGTGAGCTTGGGTCATCGTCGTTGTAAGATTCCAAGTATGAGTGAGATCATACGGAATTTGTCTTTCTCTGACTTACTTAGCATGACGCCCTTAAGGTTCTTGCAAATGGCAAGATTTCATTGTTTTATGGAATTTTATGAATAATACCTGTGTGTGTGTGTGTGTGTGTGTGTGTGTGTGTGTGTAGCACATTTTCGTTTCCATTCATCAGTAGGCACTTAGATGATTCCCATATTTGGGCTAGTGTCAAAAATGCTATAGTGAACATAGGGGCACGTATATCTTTTTGAATATTTTCGTTATCTTGGATAAATCCCCAGAAGTGGAACTGCTGGATCATATGGTAATTCTACCTTTAGCTTTGTGAGGAGCCTCCACAGTGTTTTCCACAGTGGCTGCCCTAGTTTGCATTCCCACCACCCATGCACAAGGGTTCCCTTTCTTTCCTCCACATCCTCAATAACACTTGTTACTTCCTGTCTTTTTGGTTATAGCCATTCTAACATGGTATCTTATTGTGGTTTTGATTTGCATTTCCCTAATGGGGAGTGATGTTCAGCATCTTTTCATCTACCTGTTGGCCATCTATATGCCTCCTTTATGTCTATTCGGATCCTCTGAATAGAGGAACTACCCATGATTTGCAAATATTTCCTCCCATTCAGTAGGTTACCTTTTCGTTTTGTTGGTTTCCTTTGCTATGCAGAACTTTTTAGTTTGATGTAATCCCGTGGCTTATTTTTGCTTTTGGTGTCAAATCCAAAAAATCATTGCCAAGACTGATGTCAGAAAGCTTACTGCCTAATTCTGAAGAGTTTTATGGTTTCAGCTCTCACATTCAAGTCTGATCCATTCTGAGGTTTGTTTTTGTTTGTTTGTTAAAGATTTTACTTACTTGTTCATGAGAGACACAGAGACAGAGCAGAGAGAGAAGCAGACTCCCGGCAGGGAGCCCAATGCAGGAGTCGATCATGCCCTGGGATCATGCCTCGGGATCATGCCCTGAACTGAAGGCAGATGCTCAACCGCTGAGCCACCCAGGCGTCTCAATTTTGAGTTAATTTTTGTGCATGGTGTGAGGTGGTCATTCAGTTTCATTCTTTTGTATGTGGGTGTTCAGTTTTACCAACACAATTTATTAAAGAAACCATCCTTTCCCTGTTGTATATTCTTGGCTCTTTTGTCACAAATTAATTGACCATTTATGCATGGGTTTATTTCTGGGCTATTTTGTTCCACTGATTTCTGTGTCTTTTTTTTTTTAAGATTTTTTATTTACTTATTCATGAGAGACAGAGGGAGACAGAGAGAGGCAGAGACACAGGCAGAGGGAGAAGCAAGCTCCATGCACGGAGCCTGACGTGGGACTCGATCCTGGGACTCCAGAATCACGCCCTGGGCTGAAGGCGGTGCTAAACCGCTCAGCCACCGGGGCTGCCATATATGTCTGTTTTTAAGCCAGTACCATACTATTTTGATTATTGTGGTTTTGTAATATAGAATATAATTCATATACTGTGAGTCCTTTCTTTCTTTTTTTTTTTTTTTTTTTTGTGAGTCCTTTCTTAAAAGGGCATTAAGTTTTCAAAACAGCACATTTGTTGAAAATTAAGTACAAACTGTCCTTGAAAATTCCCAAGGTAGACCCAGTTGAATGATAGTGTCCCACTAAGTCCAGCATGGTCGGTTCTTTCTCCAGCCTTGGAAGGTCTGTTTCTCCTCTGATCACGAGAGGAAGTCACTGGCTTAAAATCCAGGGTATGATGTGTTGAATGAAACACTTATGCTTTCACACCTGTGCTGAGATCTGCAACCTGACCATGTAGGACTCGTCACTTAACCATTATACAGTATTTCAGTTTTGTGTACATTTGCAAACATTTGCATATGTTTGCATATAGGTGTCTGTAAGCTCTGGCAATGGCTTTGTAAAAAGTGAATTGAGAAATCAGCTTGTCCAATCCTATCTTTTTGTGGTGGCTCCAAATGGGAGTCCTGCCCAAGGTCTGTTAGAAGTCAAGTTTGCCTTCCTGTTGGCCCAGCCCAAAATGCTTCACAAGCCACTTCTTCCTCAGAGTGGAAGAGTAATCAATTGCTCCTCTGCCCGCAGCCCCCTTCTCACTGGTGACAGGCCTGTCCCTGCTGGTAGGGACTTTGCTTCAGTTTTGTGTGCACCCTGTGAAGGTGGAGAGATAGGGAGTCTGGATTTTCCCCTCGCTTGGACATGTCTGGAACATGTCGAGGAGCAAGGAGTGGAGGCAGATCTTGTGTCATTGTGAACCCACAAGACAAGATGGAACCAGTTGAGATTCCCTGCTGGGATTTGTGTGTGCTTACTGGCGGCGTAGGAGCTCAGCGTCAGGGAGGGGGTGCCCCCGAGGTGATTTGAAAAGACAAGCAGAGAGAAGCTGACCTTTCCCCAACTTGAGCTGCAGTGCCAGGGCACTGATTTCCCACTGGGTTCTCAGCTTCGAAAACCCTCACCCCTGCCTGTGCCAGCATTTCCTAATGCAACCCGGGTGACCTTGTAGTCTCTAGGCAAACGTTTGCCTTTGTGGTATTTTAGTCATTGACCTGCGGGCAGTGTCCTAGTCCCCTCTAACCCTGCCCTTTCTCCCAGTGACCTGGCCTTCATGCACTGTCTGAGGCAGGGTTGTCACCAGTGAATGGACAGGAGGCTGGGGAGGGAGCCACCAGGGGAAAACGTCCTGTGGGCCCGTGCTCAGTGGGGGATGGAAAGGCCACGCCAGCCTCTGGGGAAGATGTGCACCTGTGACAAGGACATGAGGATGTGGTCTCCACTGTGCCGGCCTCGGAGAGTCAGTGGTCTTTGACAGGCCCAGGTGCCCACCACCCAGAGCCCTTGGGTCAGCCAGGCAGACCATGTGGCTCAGCGCCATCCCATCCAGCATGCAGAGAGCAGTTACTTGTAAGTCCTGAAGGTTTCTGGGTACAGATCTTCCCGTTTGCAGGGGGATTATGTCCCAATAAGCACATTGTAAGTTGAAAATGTATTTTAACATGACTAACCCACCAAACACTATAGCTTAGCCTAGCCTCCAGGGCTCACAACACACACATTAGCCTACAGTTGGGCAAAATCATCTAACACAAAGCCTGTCTTATAACAAAATGTTGACTGTCACATGTAATTGATAGAACATCGTACTGACAGAAACAGCATGGTTGTGTGAGTGCAGAATGGTGTAAGGGTATCAGTTGTTGACCTTTGTGATGGTGTGGCTGGCTGCCTGCTGCTGCCCAGCATCATGAGGAAGGATCAGACTAGCTCAGGAAAAGATCAAAACTTAAAGATTTCTTTTGAATGCTGACTGCTTTTGTACCATTGTAAAGTAGAAAAATCCTAAATTGGTGACCATCTGTATTCTAGGGATGGGTCGGGGAAGACAGTAGTTCAGTCTCCGGGCTTGATTTCTACCGTGGCCTCACCCGTGTGCTGAGGACTCTTATGTTTGAAAGAAAAACACAGCTAATTTGAACTGTTGGTGGGAACAAGTCCCATTAGTTGAAGGCCAGCAGTCCATTCCTGAAAAAACTCCTAAACCTGCTGCTTGAAGTAGGGTGCTAGTGGCTCTGCAGTCCTGCTGCCACGGTGGTGGCATGTGATGGCAGGAGGGAGGAGGCAGCAGCTGAAGCAGGGTATCCTGGGCAGTAGGTCGAGGGCCTACACTAACGCTGATGACTTTTATCTGTTTCTGCCAAGTAGAGAATGTTCTTGGGGATGCCTGGGTGGCTCAGCAGTTGAGCATCTGCCTTCAGCTCAGGGTGTGATCCTGGAATCCAGGGATCAAGTCGCACATCGGGCTCCCTGCATGGAGCCTGCTTCCCCCACTGCCTGTGTCTCTGTCTCTCTGGATAAATAAAATCTTAAAAAAAAAAAATGTTCTTGGAGGAAAATGTTCTTGGAGGGGGTCTTGGAACTCTGGAGATCAGAGCTCTTGTCCTCTTTTCAGTGAAGCAGTAAAGGGAAAGGGTAAATAATGTCTGTTCTCTTTGGGCTGATGTCAGGGAAAAAATAGAGTTTTGAAGAATTGAGAGAACAAAACAAAATGTAAATTGTTCATGGAATCAAAGCCCTTGTACCCCAGCATGTGGAAGATGCTTATAGAAATGTGTATTTGGTTAAGATTTTATTTATTTGAGAGAAAAAGAGAGAGCACAAGCTGGATGGGAAGGGGCAAAGGCAGAGGGAGAAGCAGACTTACCACTGAGCAGGGAGCCCCACGTAGAGCTCGATCCCAGGACCCTGGATCATGACCTGAGCCGAAGGCAGACACTTAACCAACTGAGCCACCCAGGTGCCCCAAAATATGTATTTGTTGACCACTGAATTTAAAGTGACCTAAGGGGTCTGGTCCAATTCTCTTATTTTACAAATGAAGACACTGAGGCTCTGATTACTAATTGGGTGTTTATATCTGTTCTTTTAAGAAAGACTTAGCAATTTAGGTTTAGGGTTTAAGAGTTCTGGAGAGGCCTTTGAAATCCCCTTCATTTGGGATGTTAGGGCTAAAGGCTGGAAGAGGACATGTCCTGTTCCAGAGCCAGGGGACTGCTGGTCTCCAGAGGTACTTCAGGCACCTAGGCAGCTGGTGACCTGGGAGGATATGGAGAACGGAGGTGCTCCGGGAAAGCCACATCTCTCTAAAGGAGCAATCCCGGTGTCTTGGTGGGGGAGATAAGAGCCACCCCTCACAAAGATGAAGACGACATAGGCTATGGAGGAGAAATTGAGAAGGGAGATGGAAACAGTATAGACAGAGGAGTCGATTTGTTTAATCCATGTTTATTGAGCACCGGATATGCACTGTGCTAAACACTGCAGCGCACTGTCCTCGGGCTGAATGTGTGCATCCCACTCCTCTCCCCGGATGCCTGCCCTCCAGCCCATCCACAGGTGCGCCTGCCCATGCCTCCCTTGGGGAATGCAAGATGGGGCAATCCCTTGGCAGGGGACGGCTCTTGCCTCAGCTGATGTAACTGTGGTCACTCGTGGCGTGTGGGGCAGCAGCTTCCCTACATGCAGGTGTCAGGGGCAGTCTGGCTGAACTTGTCCCTGCTGGACTCTCCTGCTGGGACTCCGGTCCCCTGGGAACATGAGGGGCACACAGGCACCTAGGGGAGGGAGGCATGCACTGGAGTACCAGGCAGTCCTGGTTCATCCATTGGCGGAGGCAGGGAGAGAACCACTCAGTTCCTGTGTCCTGGAGCCTCGCACGGAGCCTGGCACACAGGACACCCACATGTGCTAAACAAGCAGGTAAATGGGTTACGTACCTGCAGGTGTCAGCTAGCCAGAGCTTCCTGAGGAGAGAATGGGGCTACTCCCTCCCTCTGAGGAGCACAGAGGAAGTGCTGCCAGCCCCAGGTCTCTTCCAGCTTCCCAGGGGGTGGCTCTCTCTCTCTTTCTCTCTTTTTTTTTTAAGTTTTATTTATTTAAGTCACCTCTACACCCTACCTAGGACTTGAACTCACAACCCAGAAACCAAGAAACCAAGTGAGGCAGCCCTGATTTCTTCTCTTGTCTTCGTTTTCTTTCATCTCTCTAACCCAGTCCTCACTCTTGTGCTTTGGCCCCATAATTCCAGTGGCCTAATGACATCACAGCCCTAGAGCGGTCGTGGGCGGCAAAACACACTCGTGTGTGTAGATCCAAGCTTTCATCAGCACCCTTCTACATTCCCACCACTTGTCAGCAGCTGGGGGCAGCTCACAAGAAATGCTGTGTGCCTCGAGGACTTCTTTTCCCTTGCTTCTCCCATCCATCAGTCACAGGGTCCTGGCAGTTGGGCCTCCTAAACCAATTCTTAAATCCTTCTACCTCTCAAAATGGACTATTGCCAAAAGCTCCCTGATCTGCTTTCTGTACCCATTCCACGCCTCTTCGGTCCAACCCTAGAATGAGGGTCACTCCACCCGTACACTGCCAAATTCAAACCCCTTCAGTGGTTCTCTGTGGCCCGTAAGCTAACTCCTGTGTGTGTGGCACAGAGGCCTCCTCACAACCCACGGGCCTGCACCTGCCTTCAGGCCTCCTAGTCATCCCTGCCTGGACACACAGGCTGCCCTGCTGCGCTCAGAAGCCTCATCCTCCCTCTTGAGTCTTCTCCTTGGGCCTTAGATGCTCCTACCATAGTGGCTGCTATGCAGTCCTGGAGTCACGAGCCTCTCCTTCCCCACAGAAGTCAAGGGAAAGAACTACATCCTACCACTGCTGTGTTCCGTGCACCTAGCACAGCCTGTGTGTGTGTGTGTGTGTGTGTGTGTGTGCATATGCGTGTGCGTGTCAAAAGGGCGCAAGACAGAACAGCATCTTCTGTGCAGACTTTGGATTCGGACAAGATCTCCCGGAGGAGAAGCCCCATCACCTGTGCAGTGGCTTCGGTGGTCAGTGTCACTAAATATAAAAATCAAATTTGTTAACAAGCCCTTGTCTCTTTCAGTAATCTTGGCGGCAATATTGTCAATGAGGCTGTTCTGAATCTGCTTCAGGCCGGAGGGTCCCGGGAAGAAATAAAATTGGAACAGCTGGTGCCCCGGCTTCGGGCCGAGATCGAGCAGTCCACAGGTAAGCAGCTCCTGGCCACACAGAAGCCAAGTCTCTGGTGACGTGTCTGTATTGGAATGTCGGCTTCTGAGGTTGACAAGACACACAGGACACACCATATGCTCGTTGTCAACTCCAGGCAGACACAAGAGAAGGACTGAGAGAGCTGAACTCCTTTCGTGAAATACTTTGAGGGTAGTTGCCCCAGCCCTGGAAACCCAGGCAGTGGTCTGTGAAGCCTGTGGACCCCTGAGCAAGAGTGTCTGTGAGCTTGGTGGTTCACGCCTCCACCTTCTGTTGAACAAAACTGTAAACCTGCAGTCAGTGTCCCAGTGGCCCACTTCACCTACAGCACACGTTCTCAGCCATGGCACGCTTTCCCACAGGAGACAGTGCTGGGTAGTTCTTGACACAGGCTTTAGGGTTAGGGACACCTTAAAACTCCAGCTGGGGTCAGTCCCAGTAGGCGTCATGTAACTCTGGTCTTGGTTTCAGATAGTGGCTTTGGCCATAGCTGTCTTGTCAAGGAGAACCTGATTGACTTCTTCGTCCCCTTCCTGCCCCTGGAGTACCGCCACGTGAGGCTGTGTGCACGTGACGCTTTCCTGAGCCAGGAGCTCCTGTACACAGAAGAGGCACTGGATCAAATTGCCAAGATGATGGTGTATGTCCCCAAGGAGGAACAACTCTTCTCTTCTCAGGGCTGCAAATCTATTTCCCAGAGAATTAACTACTTCCTGCCTTGAGGGCTAGAGGAAGACTTCCTGAAGCTGCCTGCCTTCGGCTCACAGGACCCTGGGGCCTGTCAGGGCACTGTCTGGGACTATGAGGGCAGGAGGGGCGGGGTGGCCTCCAGCCGTCACACACAGAAGGTGTATAAAAAGGAAGGCCTTAAATCAGAAACAGAGCCAATGTTGTAAATCACTTGGTGCCTTAAAGAGCCACGTTCCAAAATGCGGGCCAGGTGGTTGGAGAAAACCACATGCAGAATAAATCCCAAGGACTTACTAGCATCTCAGCTCTTGCCTGCAGATGCCTGGACTTGGGTGCGAGGCCTGAGGTTGGAGGACCCTTGCTGACAGGAAAGGGAAAATTCAGTTCTGCTTACGAGTGGCAGGCTGCGCACCTCAGGTTTGCAGGGCAGGTGGGTCAGCTTTCAGGTTGTTGCCAGAGGGAAGCTGAGCACCTTCTGTCCCTGAGCAGATCAGCAAAGAGCCTCAGGCTGAAGAAAGGGTACGTGGAGGAAGAATATATACACAGGTCGGTGTAGGTTAAGACTTGTTCTCTTGTAGATCTAAAAGAAAAATTTAAGCTAGGGGCTTTGACACGGCTGTGTCACGTGTAAGGATTAAATTTTGTATTTTTCGAAGACTCGGCCTGCTTTCTTACTGAGACCTGGTAATCATGCTCACTCAGTGAAATTCCAAAAGTGGGGTCATACTGACAGCGGGGCCAGGACGGGGCGCACCCTGGTGCTCAGAGCTGACGGGGTCACCACCTGCTCTGCTAGTTCACTTCACTCGACTTCGGGAAGTCGGCAGAACTGGGTGAAGAGGCTTTCACAGCACATTGCTCTTATATGTGAAACGTCACTCCCGGGCTCCCAGCTCTAAAAACAGAAAGTCATTTTTGAGGTTTGAATGGCCACGTATAAACGCGTACATTGTGTTTCTAGACACATGGGGTGTGTTCCGTGTCTTTTCCCTTCTCTTGGTTCTTCGCTTTTGCTTCTTGGAATTGCACAGGGGTCTCTGCTTACTTTTGTCACCACCTCAAGTATCCCCTCTTCATTAAAGCCCTCCCCAACCCTCTTACCTTTAGCCCTGGAAAAACAATGCTTTGGGCTCGTTCCTCCCATTTAGCCCTTCATCGGACTCATTTACCCAAGTGTCTCGAGGTCAGGGTGTATCTAGCCTGAGCCACATTATGTGCTCAACTTTCAAATATGTGATGAAAGGAACTTTTCTCACCACCCGCGGGACAGAAGCAAGTTCAGCCTCACTGCACAGTAACGGGGGGGGGGCAGTCTAAGCCACTAGCTCGTTGTCTCAGTCTGGAGTATCTCAGAAAGATGCAGGCCACCTGATGCTGTTACTACCCCTGCTCTACACTCTGTGAGTACACACTAATTGATTTTATTTTGAGGGAGGCCATGAGCAAGCATGAGTTGGGTGGGGGTGGGCAGAGGGAGAGGCCTGATCCCAGGACCCTGAGGACCCTGAGATCAGGACCTGAGCCTAAGGCAGAGGCTGAACCGACTGAGCCACCTAGGCGCCCCACGTAATAATATACTTTAAAAGGATATACTCCAGGTTTCAGAGCCACACAACAGCTGACACCCTTTTAGCACTGGTGTGCCATGTTTGATGTAGTAAATACAGGGTCTGACCGTCTTATACCTCAGGGACGAGGACAGGCAGCAGAACGCCATGGTTCTGCACACTTGTCTGGAGCCCGACCGCCTGGACCGCAGTGCTGTGGCTCAGTGACTTAGCCCCATGAGACCACAGAAAGCTACGAAATGCAGCCAAACCTTGCCCTCTACCTTTGTAACAGGGAGCATCACTGTACTTCCCTCATAAAGTTGCTATGAGGATGAGACAAAGTCATCTTTCTAAAGTGCTTAGGACACAGAGCTTGGTGTTTAATAAAGTACAATCTAAGAAAACTGCTGTTTTGAGTTGGCCCCATACTCAAAGCCAAGGCAGGGGCCTCTCCCTCCGTGCTAGTCTGTGCAGTCCGGCTGAAGTCTGTTCTAGGTACTCACCGTCTGAGAACTTACCATGTGCCCCGTGTGCCCTGTAGCCATTACCTCGTGTCAGTCTTAACAATGACTGTGGTGACGAGGAGACAGAGGCTCTGAGAGGGGCAAAAAACTTGCACAAAGTCACCAAGCTAGTCAGTGGACTTGGAGAGGTTCGACCCAGGCAGTCCGACTCCGACTCCAGCTCCTATGCTTTCCCGCAGCCAGTGACACAGCCTCAGCTGTGCAGAATGTTACAAATAATGCAAAAGAGGCAGAAAATCACAATGGAAGTTTCTCCTCAGGAGACTCAAAAATAAGATTTCCCTACACCAAAAATGGGCAAAAGGAAAGGACAGCAGGGGGAGCAAGAGGAGCTGTGTTAGTGGATGTTCAACAGCTCTTCCAACGGGACAGCACCTGTGCGCCAGGTGAACCCAGCCTACTGCTACCTAACCACAACGGCACTTCTAAAAGCAAGGACTCACATTTTTAAAAAATTGAAGAGTAAGCAAAACGAGAGTAGAATGTTCTCTGTGACATTCTACAAGTGCTCTGTTAATGCTACTTTGGCTTTAAACTTTTGCAGAACCTATTTGGAATTGTCCTCAGAATAGACTTTGAGAGAATTAAGGCTCCCCTTTCACCTTATGTTAGCCAGATATACACGCATGTACACACATTACCCACCGTCTGTACTTGCTGGGCTCCAGATGCTGCCTTTAGCCGTTTCCAAAAAGCATAATCCATTGAAGAATGAGTATTCTCTCCTCCGGGAGGAGATGCTAAAGAATGTGCCGGAGAGATGTTGCTAAAACCAGCTTCTTTACCTCACACACTTCTATTTTATGGTAAAGAAAGAAAAATTCTGCAGATTCCCGCTCAGTTAAAATTGGGGGAGAAACATTCCAATCACAAGCCTACTTTGCCAATAAAATATTGCAACCTTTATTTAAAATAAAACACAAGTTGGCAAGCCTTGTGAGACAACAGGCAGACAGCATTCCCCTTTCAAGGGCCTCGTTTATTTACATCAAGTTTAACACTGTTAGCAGTTCACAGTCAGACAACAGGGTGAGAGAATTAAATTAGAAAAACAAAACACCTGAAAATATATTACAAGAACAAATACCTGACAATACTGGCAGTGTGACCCATGATTGATGTGTTTTCAGTTAAATCCCATATTGTCTCACTGTGTCCCCTCCGCAGTGCACACCAGGCCTCACCCCGTGTGCACCCACCATGTATACACCTGCAGAGCGTGACCTTTGGTATAAATGTTAAACAAGTTTTAAAGAATCATATGTTTTAGGGCAAATTTCTGTCAGCCACCATGAAATGTTCCAACTTGTTTTTGTCAAGCGAGCATAAAACTGGGTTTCTCCACTGATAGTCATTACAGAATCGGATTGCAAAGAGGAAGAGTGTGGGGTCCACCCAGGAGACCGGGGGTTCTGAGGATGCATAAACAGCTCAATCAGCCTGTTCATGGCAAACCACCAAACCAGGGCACAGCTTCTATTCACCACAGGGAAAGATCTGGGCAAATCCTCTTTCACCTACTCCTCTCCTTTCTTAGCACGACAACGGTGTATGTACAAGACGTGGACATAACACATACCCTCTCTACAGATCTGAGATCTGAAGGTTTTCAAACATATGCCCTAAAGAACTCTAAGATGAGTACCTCATTGTCCTTTCTAGTTTCTGAATACTAATTTCTCTGAAGAACAATCACCCTAAATCAAGGTGATTTCTCAAGATCTCAGAAAATTTCTCTCCTAACGGAATCCCAAGAACAGTGGCCACAGTGAAAAACGGCTTGTCGAAATGGAGGCAGGCTGGCTTACCTGGCCTTCGGCTACCAGAAACATCTCAGTCTCTTGGCATTCTTGCCACTTTCAACACATGGTATGGTACCTCTGAATTGTGAAGAACAGTATCTGGGACTCACCAGTGAGGACACTAAAGCACTACAGGATCCTGCAATATCTTCTGAATCAAGAATAAATTTATTTGGCATACCTGTGTTACTGTTGTGTTACACAACTGATGAAAACTATCCCTACGTGTGAAAATTTTACTAACTAGAAGTCCTATTCTCCAGTTCAAGTTTATGGAGCTTAATTACATGATTTAAAATTCCTATTCTGATAAAATTTTCTTTAAATTCTTAAAGCCTGCTAGCACTGGACAATTCACCTCCACCATGTCCTAAAGAATTGACCAGAATGCTCCCAGACCTCAAGTCCTGCATTTATAGCTCAGTAGTCTGAAGTGACATGCAGGACCCAGAAACTTGCTCCTTTGAGTAAAACAACCAAGAATTTCACAGAACAGACAGAGGGCACGTATGGGGTGTGATCTGAGGACAAAGTGGCCTAAGCTTTTGACTTAAAGGAGACAGCCCTTCCTTGAGCTGATGTGCAGGTTAGATCAGTTCACATGCCCTTTGTGACCATGGGCTGCTCCAGGGCCTTGCTACTGTGTTCAGTATGTGTACTCAACAGTGGGAAAGTTAAAGGATGTAATTCTTCTAAGAGAGATAAACAATTTCAAATTCGTAATTGTACACAGGAGCAAAGAAATGCTCTTGGAAGGAGGGAAGGGCCAGTTAGAACAGCCTTCCCCCAGCTCACCAATCAGGATGGAGAAAAGTGCAGTCTGTCACACACCGTGTGTGTGGGGAACATCTCAAGCAGGGATTCTCACCGACCAGGGCTTTGAGCCACCGCCACCCACCTACCAGTTCTAGCTCACTCATCATGCAACATCAACCCAGCCTACAAGTCTCTCCTCCGCAACACACACAAAACCCATCTCTGAAGGCACAATCCTCTGAATGACCTAGAATCAAGATGACCTGCTTTGGCCTCCTCACTCAGGGGGCAGCATGCAATCTTCTTACCCTGATTATCACAGGGTGGAGCCTCCCCTAATGTCCTGTCCTATGGATCTATGATACTGAGTTAGAAATGAAGGAAATATCATCTTATATATGTGTTATCTCAAGAGGAAATGTACACCTCTGGTATGGCATCAGAAACAGCAGCCCCAGAGCAGAAACTCCTCTTTTTGGACACTGCAGTAAATTTCACATAAGACAGACTTGGAGCCAAGACGGTCATCTGGGTAGATGCTCTGCACAGGAGACCCATTCCACAGCCCTGGAATCCACCCATGCTTTCCAGTAATACAGGAGGACAGGGAATAGCAGTGAAGTTCTGGCTGGAACAGAGCAGGTAACAGCAATCACTGTTACTGGAGGCACTTGCCAGAAAAAACCCCAAAAAAACAAAAAACAAACCTTGCATTTTTTAAAATTCTGGTAGTTGGAAAACTGGAGCTCTCTCCAAAAGATTTAACTATCCTAACTGTTAAGAGTGGGACAAGCTTTCGAACCAGCCCAAGGCTTCTCCTGACTAGCAGGGCTATGGCCAGCAAACAGTTTTCTGGGTTGTCACGCAGAACGTACAGGCATCTGTGGGGCTACCTTTGCTTGCCTTTGTCAGAAGGGCATAAGGTCCCTTGGAGCTGCCTTTCCTTCTCTCTTTCCTGCTCCCACACATCCCAATCCAAAGCGGACATTTACAAAAGAACTGAGCCACTGGCTTGACAGAAGCTGAGACAGAGATATAGACAGCTGGAGGTCTATCAATTCATAAGAAGAGACTTCCATCCAGAGACCCATCTACATAAGAAAACTGGTTGTAATAAATGCTTAGGAAACAGATGGATCCCAAACCAAGGTAAAATAAGTTAATGCCAAGCGAGATAAAACCCCAAAATCATTATGAACAAAAACGCAGACAACCCTGTCAGCTCAATGTGAATTCCTGTGGAAGCATAGCCAGACAGTAACAATGACAAGAGCTAAAACTGGAAGGGAGAGGTCAGAGTGCAGTGTAGCTATAACTCTAAAGTGGCCACCAATGCAATTTACTCTGGGGTATTTTATAATCTAATAGGCAAATTGTGTTTAGCTACTCATTTTAGAAAAAACACGCACATACAGATGATGAAAATCAAGCTCATTTCTAACGGGAGGAAATCCTAGAAAACTAATTCCCAAAGTGCACTGGTTGTATGGCCATCCAATCCCACCTGTCCCCTCCCCACCCAAAAAATCCCAACGAAACCACGCTGGACATCGGTTAAAAAGACACTGTCAACATTAACAGGTAAGAGTCTGCTCCCACCATGTTTGGATGCTAAATGGCTGAACATGTTGTGGACAAGTGTTCAAGGCTAAGAAAAGGGCTTTAATTCTTCCTGAGTCAAGGTCCCTGGAAGAGCTTCTTTATTCTGGAGTACATATTAGTATTTTTTAATGATCATAATTAAACCAGAAAGTTGGTCCGTAGTTTTCTGAAGTTATTCGGCGCTGAGCTACAATTTTAGCAAAACACTTAACTATACCTGCACATATTCATTTAGCAGTTTCATATTTACAAATGTGGTAAGTCACGGGGGTGATTAGTCAATCAGCATCTAACTGTCTGATCTTCTAAACAGACATTAATAATACAACCTTACAGTTAAATTACACTTGATACTTTCCTCAAAGTGCTTTCATATACATTACCTCATAGCCATTAAAATGATATGGAATAAAGTCATTTTGTTTTTAAGAAAAAGGAATGTAGGACTAGGGTTTTTTTTAAAACTTAACTCGATATTTCTTTATAGCAAAGTACAGACCACTGCTGTGTTGCTGAGGTCTGTCCAAAGGAATAACCCCATACATTTTTTTTTTTTTTTATATCACTGAGCTCTACTGAATGCCTGCTTTGCTAGTGTTGCCATTACTCAACATTCAAGGCCCTCGAGGTCAGAGCGCCAGGAGTGTGTGTGTGCTTTAGAAAGTGTGCGGCACTGTGCAGGCTGATTGTCTATCTGAGCCACTTTTTTTTTTTTTTTTTTTTTTTTTTTTTTGGCAGTGTCTCACAAGGCAGCAGTAAGGGCAGAAATACCCCACAACCAGAAAGTCAAGGGACCTGACCTTAGCCTTGACTCTGCCACTAATTAAGATAATGGGCAGGTAACTTCACCATCCTCTCTTCCAATTTCTGAAGCTATGAAGAAAAGGGTTGGGGTACCAATGGTGTTCCGGCAGTGCTGGATGTCTAAAACACTTGGAGGAATTCTTGGAAAATACACTTGCTGTGACTTCACCCCACTGGGAATTCTGATCTGGGATGAGCCAACACGTCAGACTGTTTGTTAAATTCCAGAGATTCTGTTGCACATCCCTGGCTAAGAGACTCACTAGACTAAGTGTTAATAATATAATAGTAGTAGCACTGAACATGTATGGAGTGCTCATTATGTGCCAGGCACTCGAGCTAAGAATCTAATATACATTATCTCATTTAATCCTTACAACAACCCTGAGGTAGTTACTATTATCATCCCTGTTTTCCAATGTGGAAACTAAGGCTCAGGAAGGTTAAATGACTTGCCTTGTAGACTGGCTTCAGAGTCTCAACTCTTAATCACCAGCTATACTGTATCCTTTGAAACTCAAAAGCTCCATGACTTTAGTTAACACGGGCTATGCCTTAGCAAAGTCAGCATCTTTTATTAACTGGGCACTATCTTACCAGCCAATTTTCAACTGAATTGTAAGAAAATTCTAATTTAAACCCCAAAATGCAACTGGGAAAGGATCTCTACTCTAATGATATCAATGAACAGAGGTCATTTGGAAAAACACTAAATTTCTTAGGGCCAATCTTTTTTAAGGCTATTATCTCTGAAAATCACAATGGAAGTCTGTAGGAAAATAGACATGCTTTAATTTTACACAAAGCCTTTTACGAAAATACTTCATGTAAAGCACAATCAAGATGTATTTTACACAAAACACTGCATTTTAAGGTAAGAAATAGAAGCTGAAATCATATTACCTGTACATGAAAGGACTCAAGCTGAGACAGCCCACTGTAGGCATATATAACCACTTTAGAAAGTTGTCAACAACTCATAGAAGGGCTTTTGCTCCTGCTTTGCTTTTAAACTAGACAGGTCATGCTTTTAGTCTTGAGCAGTTTTCTCTGCTGTGAACTCAAACTTTTAAATTTATATAAGGTTACTTTAAAAATCTGGTCCTTTTCAATTAGAAAAAGGAGCAATCTAAATGATACTTTTATAGTGAGTTGACAGTGCCTCTTTCACCTGAACCCTGAGCCTTCAATACTGAAGTCACACAGTTCAAGCATCACGTGGACGGGCTGTGCTACAATAGTTAACGCTGCTCTGGACAGTGTTGAACAAAAGCAATTTATTTCATAACTTAGTAAGCACCTACTGTAGGCAAGACAGAGAGCCAGGTGCTGCCCCTGAGTGAGACACAGTCCCCACCCTCAAAACTATTCTGCGGTGAGAGAACCAGGGAGCTTACATACACTCAGTAGTGTTCTTCCAAGGCTTATTTTCAGAGCTCTCAAGGAAAGATCCCTTGCTTTAAAAAAAAAAAAAAATCCCCTGAAAAAAACAACAATTATAATTAATCCCTCAAATTGCATCCCACAATGACGGATAAACTTAAAAAGCAGCATAATATTCTAAAGTTTTAGCTGTCCCTGCCCACCCTTAAAAGGCAAATTGCTAAAACAATTTCAAGTTTATGGAAATGACTGATGAAGGGGAGTGGCGAAGAAGGAGGTGGGAGGACCATGGGCCGACATCCAGGTTAAAGGGAAGTCTGGTCTTCTCGACCGACCAGGGAAGGTCAGCCAGATTGCTCACTGCCTGTGCTGCATCCTGTAGGTAACCTACAGTCAGGGCTCACCCAAGCCCTGCCAAGCCCAGGACTGTCTCTTCCCTTCTCATCCTCCTCCTGGCCTGCACCTCCTCTGGAGCAGCCACAGCAAGAATCAAGGTTTCCTTTCTTTCTAATGAAAACTCAGTTTCCTCCTCAAAAAGGACAAACTCTGTCCAAAACATAGTTTTGCCTCCTCAGTATTCTAGCCCCGTTAGCATCATCTCAGCAGTTCCACATTTCCATTATCTGCTACTGAGCAAAGAAGAGAATGAAAACCATTGAACGTAACAACGCTGCACTGAAGTGGCTCTCAAAGGGATAGCTATACACTTATTTGCAAAACACCCTGGAGAAGATGTAGCATTACCTTCCTTTAACAGATTAAGAGATGGGGCTGTGGCTTGACAGTGGAACGATAACAGAGGCAGGAAGAAAACTCACAGGTCACCAGTGTTCAACTCCTACCTTCCTAAGTTAATATTTGGGAGGAAAAAATAACGTATTTATTCTTTTGTATCAGGTTCTCCTTGGGCAGGTGAGGGGTGGTGGTCATAAAGCTTTAAAAAGAGAATGAAGTATTAAGATTAGACCTGATATCAAGAATATTAATAATATCTAACTGCTTAGGTTCAGTTCAATATGATCCTAATTAGCTTCCATGACTATAACTAAATAGGAAAAGGCCTAGTTTTCAAAGGCAAAACATATTTGGGGGTTAAGTCATTATGTTTCTAGGGTTTAATCAGTGTTTCCTTGAAATGACCTGCCCCTTCGATTATGCATTCTTCAAAGAGAGGTGAAGTGACAAAATAAATATCAAAGAGTATTCCCAGTACAGTATTTACAGACAAGCACAACCATGAGGGGGAAGGGGCTATGTGAAGGGAGAAGAGTAGGTGGGAGTAATTGGGGGCAATTCATCTGAAATTCACAGAAAGTGAAAGAATATTTCTCCTCCTCCCTACCTAGCCTGGGTCTAAGATGATGAGGGAGGTGAAAAGTACAGAGAAATGGCCATTGGGACCAAATCGGCTTCTCAAGAACACTTAAAGTCACAGACCTCTGGAGCTGGCCAATGGATTCCAAGAAGAGACCTTCTTCCCTGGCGTGTTAGCCGATAAAGAGATGCAGAGCTGCTTAATTCCTTGGCCAGTATGTCGGTTTGCAGGGGCACGGCATCAGAAAAGGATCCCCAAGAGAGCCTGTACGTGACCGCTGTTTTCCATATCAACATTGATTAATGCCCTGAATACTGCCAGATATAAAGGAAGATGGCCCGCCCGGAAGAGAGCAGAGAGGAACCACAAAGGAGACCCCTATGCCTACAATTTATAGATGGGCACCAACGAGCTAAAAACCAATCCCAGTCCACTAGGAAATAACCTATGAGGGGGAGAAATGACTTCTGCTCATCAGTGGAGATGTGAGGAGGAAGTTTCAATCTCCCTGACTACTTCCTAGCATTCTTTACTTCCTGCACCAATTAACATGCCCATGGTAAAAAGGACAGGAGCATGCCCTCGCAGGCTGACCTGCAGCTTCGACTATGGCGGTGAGCTCTGGAGAAACAGCTGCTTTCAATGGCCTCAAAGGAAAGGTCCCCCTCGGTACCATTCCCAGCTTTCCCTTCTTCACTCCCACCCGATTCATTAGGTGAGGTGGCACGTGACCACCGCCAGTACCTCCTGGAGCCCCAAGTCAGTCCCCTTCTGTGGGGCGCGGAGTGAGCACCCCGGCCAGTCCACAGTCTGCACACAGGCCCGCAGCCTGGCCCAGAGCAGCCCTGTTTACCCACCACACGTCATCCCAGGTAAGAACGGATTGGACTGGTTTCTCTGTGGCCTGGCAGACACATGTTCCCTGATGTTCCAGGGCAGCTTCCAATCCTGTCCACCACTGCTCTGCCCCCATTTCATTTCCCTGTCCTATGTGTTTTGCTTTTTGTTATTTTTGAGATGAACCTGTAAACGTGAGAACTCAGAGATCTGAGGTACTTCACATAAACACACTCAAGTATCAGTCTTTCATTTTTTGAAAACAAGAACACAGGAAAACAAGCCCCTTTCCCTCTCCCCTCAGAAATGTGAGCATCTTCCCCTGAGGCTCACAGTGGCTACCTCTGCACCACGTCACTGATTTCCTGGACACATGACAATAAGTTATTAAGGACAGGGTTTGCCCCGGACACCCCGGCAGCAGCTGAAGACACCTGCAGCTCCTGCAGGCTGAGTTCCAGTTTGCTCACAGCCTCTCGGAAGGCAAATTTGTTGCGAGTTTGAGGGATGCAGTCCACATAGCCTGAGCAGTAGTCGAGTAGCTGGTGTCCCGTGTCCACCAGCTGGCTGTTGGGCACAGGTTCCGTGATTGCACTGGACAGTAGGTCAGCACATTCCAGCAGGGCCTCTTTGCTGATTTTGTCTGCTGAGATTTTCTCAGCCACCTGTTTGGTTTTTCTCAGAGCCACTTTAGTACCTGCTGTGCCATTAGCCATTTTGGCTGGTGAGATGGAAGATGTGGGCAGAGGCACTTGAGGTGGAGGCATCACTGGCCTCCCAGCTTTCCCACTGATGGGCACTGCCCCCGGAGCTGCCTTCTTCCCTCCTTCCTGTGTTTCTGGCATGGGCTGTCCTGCAGTCGGGGCAGTGGGCTCTTCCGTGGAGTCTGAGCACATGGACGGATGCTGCAGTAGTCTCATCACTGGGGGTGGGGGTGGGGCACACTTTGGTTTTACCCGTCGGGGTCGGTCCTTGTCTCCAGAGGATGTGACCTGATGCTCAGATAAGAGTTTGAATTTATTGCCCTGAGAGTCTGTGCCAATGAGCTGCACGTCAGCTGGAGTGTGCTTCAGAGTGGGTGAGATAAGGACTGGCACTTTGTGGTTGTGAGTGGTTGGGATGGCTGCTGCAGCCTTGGCCGGAGAAGACCAGCCTGTCTGCTCACCATCCTCTGGGACTCCAGCCATGCCAAGTCGTGCTCCACCATTCCTCTCCTTGCTCTTTGGGGCAGCTGCCACTCCAGCCACCCCCACCGCTGGAGAGTCCTTCTCTGTAATGGCTGGGTCCCCAGAGGGGGTTCTGAGAGGAAGAGCGGTGGCTCCTCTGGGCAAAAGTTTGGCTTTTGGTCTCTCCCTGCTTGGAGCAGCACCTTCCTCTGATTTTTTTGGAAGCATATCATTGGCCCTGTCCACATTCTCTTCTGGCTGAGAAGAGGTGGACACTGTCCTTTCCAGCTGGAGTTTGGACCTCTGGCAGTTCCTGGGAAGGGTCATTGCCATCCTATCCTGCTCTGGAAGCCCTGAGGACATGGAAGATGTAGAGTTTGACCTTGGAAAAGGCTTGGAAGTGTCATCACTGGCTGTGGGTTTACCCGCTCGTAAGCCCAGTGTCTTTTTGATTAAACGTGGTGTAAAGAAGCCTGTGATGCCAGACCACCCACCCCCAGCAGTGCCACTGCCCCCGCCCCCGCCACCATCGTCATTACAGAGGTTCCTCTGTGCAAAGCTCCCCCCATAGCACTTGGGTGGCACCAGATTCGCCTCTTGCTGGGCAGGAGTGAAAGAGAACCCATCAGCATGCTGTAGAGAAGCAACAGATGAGAAGTTACCCGTGAGTTCATATTTCTTGTGGGGTTGATTCTCCATTTCTCGGAAGGAACTGCTACGTTTAGGGGGTGTGGGAGCATTTCTCTTTTTCATGAAGGAGCTGAAGAAGCCTCCCTTCCTATCCCTGGTGAAGCATGTCTCTTTGGCATCTTCCAAGAGGCTGCTGGGTGACTTGTCTCTTTGTTTTCGAGGCAGTGCTGGGGACCCACTAGGGGCCTGTGCACCTCTAATGAACCCTGATAAGAAATGGCCAATCAGTAACGTTAAAGACAAACAGTGATTCCATTACACTTGAGTAACTATGGTTAACTATAAGAGTTTCGTTAGTATCTCTTAAATGTCAGGACTCAGAAGAAATTAATAAATGTTATCATTTTACACCGATGAGTGTTCCAAATACATGTGATATAACTGGGAAGAAACAACGTGCTGGCTTTCACTTGGCTATTGGCTATTCTCTAAAAGCTACAGCACACCCTGACCTCATCTATCAGGCTCAATGAAGCAGTTTTTCCCAGAAACTGTCAAGAGGTAACTGTCTGAGATTAGAGAGTTGAGGAAAAAGGGCGAGAGGCCAAGTAGCAGAACGGATGGAAGAGATCAGGACTAACGACGCTGGCACCCCAGAACCAAGGACAAGAGCAGGAGCTGGTTTAATGCTGGCCATTCTCTCCTTGGGGAAGACGGACAGCAAAATGGAAATAAAGGATCAAACCCCAAGGTTCTGGAAACAGTTTAATTCTACCCGCCTAGTGACCCATACCTGGTGCTGAACTGGAAGCAGAATTTTCTGTGGTGTCCTGTGCCCCTTCGATATTCTCCTTGTTCTCCACCTGCTTCTTCAGCGTCCGGGTCTTGGAAGGAAGTATTGGCAGTCGGGGCAGGTATGGAACAACAGATGAGGAGGAGGCAGCTCTCCCAAGCTCCTCAGCTACTTCTGTGAGGAAGATAATGGGACTGATGAAAAACAATTTCAGGACACAGAAAAGGTTTTATTTTCAGAAAAAGTATACAACAGGAAAAAAACTGGAGAAAAGAGTACTAAAATATACAATGGAATCACAGAGTATGTACTCTTTTATGTCTGGCTTCTCTTGCTCAACATTGTGACTGTGGATTCATCCATATTGTTGCATGTGGCAGGGGCTTTCTCTCATGGTATATTGTTCAAAAGTGTGAATACACCAAAATTAATCCATTCCTCTTTTGATGGATACTTAGGTTGTTTTTAGTTTTTGGCTATTGTGAATATGCTGCTAGGAACACCCTGCTACGTGTCTTTTGCTTCGGAATTGTGTGATTGTCTGCTGGGTATATACCTAGGAGCAGGACTGGTGGGTTATAGGGTGCACATAATTCAGCTTTGTTGGATTGTGCCAAACGGTCTCCCAAAATGGCTGGGCCAATCTATACTCCCATTAGCATTGTATAGTAGTTTTGGTTACTCTGCATGCTTGCCAGAGTTTGATATTATCAGGGTTTTTTTTTGTTCAATTTTAATTTGAGCCATTCTGGTGTCAGTCTCTATGGCATCTCATTGTTCTATTTTGGATTTCTCTGATGATGAGTAATGTTCAGCATGGTTTCATGTGCTTCCGTATCATTTGGATATCCTTGTTTACGGAGTCCTTATTCAGAGGCTGAACAAAGCAGACAGATTTCTGGAGTTATTTTTATTTTTAGATTGTACCTTATACCAAGGAGGGTAAAATGCATTTCATTTCATTCAAATGAAGCAAATGAGGCCCCTGAAAAAGTGCTCACCCTTTTGAACATGGCTATGCATTTTGTGGCTTCTACTGGGGCAAAGACATACTGTGCTACTCATTCCTGAACAAAAATGAAGTGGAATCAATGAAATTGTGAAATATTGTGTTTATTTTACATTTTTTGGCAACTATTTAAAAAAATCGACTCTTCCACAAGAATGGATATACAGTATATAACCCAAGCACTGTCAGTGAGATTCCTTTCCTATGCTGCTATGTACAGCAGCTGGCAGACACAGACGTAAGCTATAAAGATATGACCTCAAGGATGCTAGTAACTGTGCCCCGTGCCTCTTGGAATATTCTGAGGATGAGATCAATGTAGAAGCAAAAGTGAAGTGATACTGGGTGGGAGTGGCTGTGGGAAGTAGAAGTCCCAGAGCCCCTTGAGTCTGTGGCTTCTACTGACTCTGAAAGTCACACCATCCCTCCTTTCCCATGGTTTGGTTATAAGCCAATAAATCCTCCTTTTATTGCTTTTGAAAACTTGAGTTAGGTTTCTTCCACTCACAACTAATAAAAACATCTTTTTAAGGTAGGAACTGTGTCTTATCCCTATGTCTTCAGTATAGTGCTTGCCAAAGATTAAATGCTTAATAAAATGTGGGTTAAATAATTTTAAATTTCTTGTTTAGCAATTCTGAATTGCAATTACCTTTAGGAACTGATAATGGCTGATTTTCTAAAAGGACAGAACATTTTTGAAAGAAACAGAAATATTTAAGCAAGGATTCAACAGAAGTTAAAAGGTGACACAGAAGCATCAGAGAAGTGGAGCCTGTGACTTCTATCACTCCAGCTCTGCTGTGGTAAAGCACAGAGGGGCCGAGACAGGCAGCTGCTCAAACTGGCCCAAAGGTTGATGTGCAGAAGTTTCAGCTAAGCAAAGGACAAGGAAGAAAATACTTTTCATTCAACTTCAGTGTTATACTTTTCCCTTCTTATCTGAAATGATACATTGCTAACGAAAGATGACAAAATTCAACTTGCCTGATTTCCTTTTCTCATGTTTTAAAACCTGAACTTAAGTAGTAAGCTCTGTGTTCAATTATGAAGGAGAAATTTGAACAAATATGTGTGAAATTCTGGAGCTATACCAAAGAATCTAATAATAAGCACAAATAACTAAGAATTTGATGTTTTTAACTCTCTAGGAATAGCCTGTCTATATAACAAGTTTACTGTCTGACTTCTGCATGTAATTGTAGAGGCACTGTCATGCCTACGTGCACCTATACATTTGTTTTTCAAATACGAAAAGGCTTCTCACTGTTCATAGCTTAACATGCTCATTTTAAACTATTTTCCATGTCAATATACTTAAGAATATCATTTTAAATATTCCATTATATGAATAATTAGATTCTTAAATTGTTCTTAATTTTTCAATATTAAAAACTACACGCTGATGTAACATCTTTGTAGCTAAATATTTATTCATACTCTTAATTATTTCAAGATCTATTTCTAGAAATGAAATTTCTGGATATTGCCTTAATGACTTGATTCTGTCTTTGTAGGTATGGTTCAGGGAGGTGGAATAATCTTCATACTCATTTTTTCTTCCCTTCCATATATGGTAAGTGTTTGTGGTTAAAGAACTACCAAACTTCTTCTCTTTATGAAGAGACTGAATTCCTAATTAAAATACAATTTCAATATTAGAAATGAGCAGAGACATAGAGACATTTAAAAATAGCAAAAAAAAAAAAAAAAAAGCAAAGCGAGAATAAAGGCCAAGAAATTATTCAATATTCCAAAATGGAGTCACAAACTAGAAGAATCTACTGTTTTTGAAATATTACCACCCCTAACACCACCCAGAACTGGCCACCAGCTGTAAACTACCAGATTCCCACCTTCAGAAATGCTGGAGTCATGAAACATGGTTTCAAAAGCCTGATGTGTTTCAGCAAAAGATGGCCTGTCAGCAGGGCTCCACTTCCAGCCTATGTGACAAAAGAAGAAAATACTGAAAGCTCCTTTCAAAAATTAAATATCCAATGGCACACCTGCAAGCGAGTCCCAAGCATCATGATGGATGCTACTGAAGGAGAGGTACAGCATGTTCACAATGACAGTGAGGCAGCTGCTTCTCAGTTCCAGACTTAAAGCTGTGATAAACCCACTTCCTAGGGCTGGTCCTTCTATGTAGCCTCAGCTTCTATTTTCTCTACTACGGGGATAAAGAGGGGTGGGGAGATGCTTTATAAAATGGAAAGTTGGGGCGCCTGGGTGGCTCAGCGGTTTGGTGCCTGCCTTTGGCCCAGAGCATGACCCTGGAGTCCCAGGATTGAGTCCCACATCAAGCTACCTACATGGAGCCTGCTTCTCCCTCTGCCTATGTCTCTGCCTCTGTGTCTCTCATGAATAAATAAATAAAATCTAAAATAATAAAATAAAATAAAATAAATAAAATAAAATAAAATGGAAAGTTGTTTTCTGCTAGAAAAATGAAAGAAGTAGAACCTGTATTCAAACTCATTCTAACCTTATAATCAGCTAAGTATAATCAGAAGTATAACAGGATATCAGAAAGGAGGAAGTTAGAGTTCACTTTGACAAAAACAGGACGGTAAGGAAAATAACAAGACATATGCTTAAACACAATGCAATCTAATTCACCACTCACCTTCTAGCTTTCTCATCTGTTAAGAAGTCAGATGCTTTTGTTTATTCAAAGTGGTTACTTTCAGGTACTCTCCAGTCTTTAGCAATCATTTTTATCTAGTTGAAAGCAGCCATCTCCAAACCCAGTTTCTTATTATTCTATTAGAATATGCAAGTGGTTTGGGGAAACCACTTATATGCAATATATGGGCCATGAACAACTGTTATTAGAATTCCAATTAAGACTCAATGGTTTATTATATATGTCAACTGGCTGATCAATGACCCTTTTTTAAAGTTTTCATTTATTTATGAGAGAGAGAGAGCACGCACATGAGTACGGGGAGAGGGGTAGAGGGAGAGGGAGAAGCAGATCCCCCATTGAGCAGGAAGCCCTATTCAGGCTCGATCCCAGAATCCTGAGGTCATGACCTGCACTGAAGGCAGACTGAGCCACCCAAACACGCCTGACCAACACTTTACATGTCATGAGATTGGATTCAATCTAACACTGAGAGGAAAACTGTTTTCTTATTTTGTTATCACCCTGAATCACTGACTTAACCCTTCAAAATTAAAATACAAAAAAACTCAAAAAACAAAAACAACAACAACAACAAAAAACAACTTACATGCTCTCATAAGTTCATAAACCTTAGGGGGGCATCCTTCAGGTTGTTCCATTCGATATCCTTTTTCCAGTAGATCATACACCTGAGACAGGTCAATACCTGGATATGGTGACATTCCATATGTAGCAATTTCCCACAACAGTACCCCGAAAGCTGCATAAGGGATTTAAAAAAAGAAAAGTTGAATGTTTCTTCTCTGATCTTTTATTTTATACCATTAGGTAACTTTTCTTTCAAATTTTGGATAACATTCACACTGTTACAACATTAGTATACTCTTCTAATTCTTATAGCTGAACTTGTCCTTCTAAGGTATCTGCCAGAGGAATGCTTCAGGTATAACCTCAAGACAGTTTTCTATAAATTTGCCAATTTTTTAAAAGATTTTTTTTTTTTTAATCTGAGACAGCAAGTGCATGAGAGCACACACTCACACCAGTGGGGGCAATGGGGGGAAGGGGTGGAGAACAGAGGGAGAGGATGGTTGAATCCCAAGCAGACTGCCCACTGAGCATGGAGCCTAACACAGGGCTTAATCCCATATCACAAAGATACCAAGATCACACCCCGAGCCAAAACCAAGAGTCTGATGCTCAATTGACTGAGCTACCCAGGCACCCCATAAATTCCCCAATTTTTATTTGGATTTCCTTTACTGTAGTGAGGGAGAATAAATTATGACCACAGAAAGTCTGGGACATAACCCAACTACTCTTAGAACAATCTATGATCTATTTAATGAATTTCAGTTTTTACATCAGTGAATATTAAAGGAGTCAAAAAGAAATAGACTAATTTAAAATAAAAAAAAAAAATCACACTAGTGGTGCCAGGATGGTTCAGTTGGTTAAGCATCTGCCTTTGGCTCAGATCATGATCCTGGGGTCCTGGGATTGAGGCCCGTATCAGATTCCCTGCTCAGTGGGGAATCTCCTTCTCCCTCTCCCTCTATGCTCTCCCTCTCTCAAATAAATAAAATCTTTGAAAAAAGAAAAAAACAAAGAAAAAAAATCACACTAGAAAAGGAAATTTGCTTGACTTTGTCACACATTATTTCTGAGTTTAAGATTTCTGGTAAAAAGTGACTCAGCATCTTACAACTATTTCTGTTGTTCTACAACCCAAATTTCTTTTTTTTAATTCAGAGGCAGAGAGAGAGAGAGGGGGGGGGGGGCAGGCAGAGAGGTAGAGACACAGGCAGAGCGAGAAGCAGGCTCCATGCAGGGAGCCCGATGTGGGACTCAATCCCGGGTCTCCAGGATCACACCCCAGGCTGTAGGCGGCGCTAAACCGCTGCGCCACCGGGGCTGCCCCCAAATTTCTATAGACTTGTTCAGTCCATGAGCCCCTGCTAAATCTGCTTTTCATGGCAACAGAAACAAGATGAGTTAGTTACAAGGACAAAGTCTAAATGCAATTCCATCATGCTTTCCTTGAAAAGAAGAGGCTACTCTGTGTCACAATACTCTGGAAACGAGCAATAAAACCTAATATGGAAAACAGGAAGCTTTGCAAAGAGAGGATCAATAAAATTCCAATGCAATCCAAGATCATGACTGTGAGCTCTTTGAAAGTGGGGACTTTTTTTTTCCACTTTCTTCTTTACACTACTTTCTATGCTAAGTGACTAACACAATGCCTGGCAGATAGTAGGTATTAATAAATTTTTGCTGAATGACTGATAAAGGATGGAGGATAAAGGCAGAGTTTACTGATCACACAAATGAGAAGCTCTAAAGAACTAAAAACAATTATTAAAAACATAAAATGTCAGACAAAGAAAAAGTCCCTTCCAACCTTACCCCAGACGTCAGATTTAATTGAGAAGGTATTGTAGGCAAGACTCTCTGGTGCTGTCCATTTAATAGGAAATTTGGCTCCAGCATGAGCAGTATACGTGTCTCCAGTCATCAATCTACTTAAGCCAAAGTCAGCCACTTTTACCACATGGTTTTCTCCCACTAGGCAGTTACGGGCTGCAAGATCTCTGTGGAAAAGAGAACCCTAATGTGATTCATTCAGATGGTGAGAAAACGACCATGAATGCTCTATTCTTGGTCCTTTGTGCTACGAGTAGAGTTGGTAAGTCCATGCTGACAGATATAGTATTATTTTATGATAACTACTAACATGGTAAAAAGCCACGAATTATACATCACTTGTAAAATAGTCACCAACAGACAGTTATCTGATACTAGAATAAAAAAGACTTCAGAAAATGGGTTCCTATTTATAAGTACACTGGGACAGGTTGCAGAGGTGAGCAAAAGACGCTTTTCTACAGGGGTTTACTTTAACTTCTTTAATAAGACAGAAAGCTATTGTTAAAATTAAGCCATTAGATGGAGAAAAAGACTCTTGGATATGGCCCGACAAAAAGCATTCTGTTCTGAGAATTAGCAAAAGCCCCTCATTAATACTTTCACCAGAATACAGCAGATTTATAAGTTGGAAATGGCATCATAGTGGGCAGGTCCTGTGAAAGAGAAAATTGCTTTTCTGAGTCATCTGGAAATTTCCGGGAAGGCTCTCACATTCTTTTCTGTATTTGCACATCAAGCAAGGTTGCTTCATGGTTAGTCATAGGCAATAATCAGGCTTTACAAACCTATGGATGAAATTCTTCTTCTCTAGATATTCCATTGCAGAAGAGATCTGTGTGGCCATGTACAGCAGGACAACTGCAGTCACTTCTTCTCGGCTGCATTCGCGGAGATAATCGAGCAAGTTGCCGTACGGCATGTACTCAGTCACAATGTAAAACGGTGGCTCCAAAGTACACACACCTGATAGTTGAAGAAGAGAGCTTGTTTTATTAGTATATATCCAAAAACTCCCAACCACTTCAGTAAGAATAACAGACACATTTTAAAGTCTAGCTCAGCAGTAATCTTTTCCCTTCTTGCTACCACATTCCCTGAAAATAACACAGCAAAGTTAAGAAAAAGGTGGTTGGTAAGGGAGTCTTGTCTTCCTTGACATCATTCTTTGGAAACCATATGCATCTGAGTATGTGCCTGTTTAGGCAAAAGCATTAATTCCATAAGGGGTCTAGAAAACTGAACTGTCTTGAGTTCTATATGTGCCTGTGATTCCCCTCCTCACCAGCACACTAACAATGTTTATCGAAAAGTAAGAGCATTTGTATGTATGTTGAAGACTGTGTGAGCCCACTCTGTATCATCCTTTGTAAAAAGACTGTTTCAACAGTCAAGGATTTCAATGATACATGGCAAATTCCTTGTAAAAAATCAACAAGAAACTCTTTCCTTTCGGATAGTTTTGGCTCAATGTGAATACCCAAGGAAACTGGCCCTCCTTTATAAAGGGCAAGGGGTTCAGTCAACAGTTTCTTTGTGATCTGAACAGGTGAGAAGCCATTGTATCACAGCACAGCACTTTCTGCTGAGCAAGGTAAACCAAACCAATCAGTGTGGTCACAATTTTTATCCGCTTCTTTTCAACTGTTCTTTCTTTAATGTCTTTTTATTTTGTAAAAATATTTTGCAACAGTATTTGGTTTGGTATAATTCTGAGTGATTCTGAACTTGAACTGGGGCAGTTACCACAAGCTGGGCAGTTTTATTTATTGTAATCAATCCAGGCCACTGTTTCCCAGGCAATTTTTATTAAAAGTTTTTTTTTTTTTTTAAGATTTTACTTATTTATTCATGAGAGACACAAGAGAGAGAGGCACAGACACAAGCAGAGGGAGAAACAGGCTCCATGCAGGGAGCCTGATGCAGGACTCAATCCTGGGTCTCCAGGATCACACCCTGGGCTGAAGGTGGTGCTAAACTGCTGAGCCACCCGGGATGCCCCTCATTAAAAGTTTTAAAAATTAATTTATGTATGTTTGTATATAATCTTAACACCAAACATGGGGCTCAAACTTGAGACGCCAAAGTTACATGCTGTATTGACTAAGCCAGCCAGGTGTACCATTCTAGGGCAATTTTTGAACACAGAGCCTGCTGATTAAAATAACCACCATTTGCTGAAGTATATTTGTACTTGGAGCTTCCACCATGATGATTCGGAAGCAGCATCTGGAGATGACAGGGCCAGGGAACGCACCTATTGTTCAGGCAAGCTTCCTTACCTAAGAGTTGGACCAGATTAGGATGCTTGATTTCCTTCATCACTGCAGCTTCCTTCAAGAACTCCTCCACTTCCATGGTGTCTTCCTGGAAAGGGGGGGGGCGGGGATTAGAGAAAACAATAAACAAACAAAACAGAAGAGGGACAAACCCCCATTTTAATCATTTGAGTCAATTCACAATCCTAACACTACAGCTTTAAATGGGGCTATCTTGAATATTTTAGCAGATTAAAGAAACTTTATCAGAACCTAATAATATGCCCCAGAGACATTCAATTAAGAAAGAAAACATCCCTAAATTTACCCAATTGGAAAATGGAGTGAAAATTAGCAGGGCAAGCAAAATTCAGTCATCATATCCCATCACAAGTGAGGCCTGGGAGAGCTGGATGGATTACTCAGTTCTGAGAGTTTACTTCCCTAGATAGCTCAGCCTTCAAAAGAGGAGACAGAAGAGTTAGCTATTCACACATCTGTCTTCCTGACAAATTCCTTAAGGAGCAATACACATTTGCAAAGCCATGCATATTGTCTCACACTCAAAATATGCTTAAACCCTTGCTGACCAGAACTGATTACTACTCATAGCCAAAGAGCAGCCCCTTACCCATGATATGCCAGAGCTATGGAGGCACATGGGAGATGTTAAGAGAATGGAATGACAACTCTGTCATTAGCTACTAGGATACTTAAAGATGACAGCAGTATCAGGAAGATTTCTGTAACTACTAGCAACAAGAAGAAGGGATCTAATCTTAAAGAGATGGGGAGAGTATGAGACAGCTCAAGGACAGGAGAGAGAACCCATGATTCTTGAACACTGCATGAACAATTCCGTCCAGCAGGGGTCATTCTCAAAATAGTTTCTTTTGCTTTTCTAATTTATAATCTGCTCCTAACCTTCCACTAAGACCTACATCAGCAGCCTTCAGAAACATATCTTCCCCACATTTGGGCTTCACTGAGTTGCAGTGAATAATCTGCCCCTGCACTGTCAGCTTGGCACTAAGGTTTATCACCAATTTGCTGATGTGCTTGGCATCAGTGGGTGGAAAGTGTTCCAAAGTTAAAGAAGGACACACTCATATTTCCAAGTGATTCAGCACAAAAGGAAAAAAAAAAAAAAAAAAAGCCTGGAAACTGTAATTCTCAGCAACTCACCTTCAATGTTTTCACAGCAACCGTAAGGCTGTATTTCTTCCAGACGCCAACATAAACTTCTCCATACTGACCACCCCCGAGTTTGTGCTTCATGGTAATATCTGTTCGTTCCATTTCCCACTTGTCATGGATAGGGGACACACCATAAACTGTGGGCTTATTACACTTGGGTGCTGGGTAATGTAATGTTGTCACCAGCCCATCAGCCACCGTGGAGTGATGGTGCACGAGCTCTGCCAGGGTGCTAAAGCGGCTCTCGGCAGTGACATACACCTGGTGAGGAAGGCAGGAGAGATGCTAAAGCAACTTGAAAAGTCAGAAAAACCTTTTTCAAAGCCCATTATTTCACTGGTCTGAAGATATGAAGATAGGAAGTTATCTTATGGAGGTAAATATAAGAATTAAATGATGAGGAGAGGGGTGCCTGGGTGGCTCAGTGGTTAAGTGTCTGCTCAGGTCACCATCCCAGGGTCCTGGGATCAAGTCCTAAATCCGGTTCCCCAGAGGGAACCTGCTTCTCCTTCTGCCTACTTTTCTGCCTCTCTCTCTCTCTCTGTGTGTCTCTCATGAATAAATAAAATCTTTTTAAAATAAATACGTAAGTGAGTGAGACGGGGAAACACAGAACTTCAGTTTAGTCCTCTTTATATGACTCTTTCCAGACTTCCTAAAGAAGTTCCAGTCTCGGGGGAAAAGCTTCCAAGCTATCATTCTGGATCACCAAGATCACTGGTCTTCAAATATTTTGAAGCAACAAGACTGTGAAACCCAAATACATAAGACAGAGATACAGATCCTAAAGTAGGCAAGGGGAGTGACTTGGCGCCTCTGAAAGGCCATGAAATCCTACCTTAGTATCTTGCATAGAACATAACTTGAGAACCACTAGTTTCCATTTTTTTGGTAGTAAGAAAGTATTGAAGGATCTTATAATTTTTACTTAATTAGGATGTGCTTTTGAGTAGCTAGGCCATTTTTTAAAAAGCCACAGTTTTATTTCAGAGTTGTTAACAAAATAGTACTTAATTTGTGACAACTAATTAAAGTATAAAAGATGAGCAGTCTCTGAGCCCCATCTTCCAAGGGAGCTAGCTTGCTTATTGTTTCTTAAGAAATCTGTGTTGTACACAGAAGAATATGTAACACATGCAGAATTGATCACTTTTACAAGGTGAACTCACCCACATAAACCTCTCCCACATCAAAAATTATAATAGCTAAGCTATTCACTCCTTCAGATAACCACTCTGCTGACTTCTAACACCTTAGATTAGCTTTGCCTGCTTCTGACTGAAACAGATGGAATCATATAATACACACGTTGTGCCTGCTTTCCTCCAACTTTTATTTACTGTGATATAATTCACATACCATAATATCCACCATTTTCAAGCATACAATTCAGTGGCTTTAATACATCCACAAAGTTGTCCAACCATCACCACTATGTAACTCTAGAACATTGCCATCAGCCTACAAAGAAACTCCAAATCATCAGCAGCCATTTCCACTTCCCTCACACCCATCCCCTGACCATCACAAATCCCTTTCAGTCAGCTTTACATGTGTGAGACTCACCTACAACTTAAGTCAACACACTTTTCTGCAGAGGGCCAGAGAGGAAATATTTTAGGCTCGTGGCCATAGTGCCTCTGTCATAACTACTCAAAAAAGCTGCTCTAAGAATGAGAAAGCAACCATAGATAATACATAAATGGGTGTGGCTATGTTCAAAAACATTTTATTTATAAAAACAGGCAACTGGGTGGGCCACAGATTTTCCTCAGACCATACAGCAGTACCACGTTCATTTTTTTGGTGCTGTATGAGATTCTATTTTATGAATATACCATAATTTATTAATTCATTCTGTTGTTAGACAAGTATTTCTAGTTTGGGGCTATTGCAAATAATGCGACTATGAACATTCTGTACATGTCTTCTGTACACATATGCACTCATTTCTCTTGGGTATATAATGAGAAATAGAGCTGCTAAGTCTCTCCGGCATTATCACTTATCTGATTCTATGTGGTTTCATCAAAAGACAATATGTCTGTAGGGTAATGCAAAAGAGAAAGAGAATTAATAATTATTTCCTACTATTGTACCAGCCATTATGTCTTAAGGAAATTATTTCATTTAATCCACAGGACGAGCCAAAAAAGAGGATGATGGCAGCCCGGGTGGCTCAGCGGTTTAGTGCTGCCTTCAGTCTAGAGCGTGATCCTGGAGACCCAGGATCGAGTCCCATGTCAGGCTCCCTGCATGGAGCCTGCTTCTCCCTCTGCCTGTGTCTCTACCTGCCTCTGCCTCTCTCTCTCTCTCTCTCTCTGCCTCTGTGTGTGCGTTTCTCATGAATAAATAAATAAAATCTTTAAAAAAAATAGCATGAGAAATTGGAAGCTTATGTAAGGACACAAAGTTAGTAAATATAAATGGTGAAGTTACACAGCAAAGCAGGTCTGCTTGCTCCAAAGTCTGCTTCCCCCTACTATGCACATCACATAGATGGAAAAAAAAGAACAAATGGTTTAATGTAAATTTACTGTTGAATAGAACTGACATAAATCTATGCTTCACAATGTATAAAGCAAAACAGCTCCATTCTAACACAACCACTCTACAATGGTTAGTCTTTCCAACATGTACATTGCTAAATGTGTGATTAATCTACTTATATTAACATACATGAATGATCAATCCCAGTCTCAGAAGCCAAAATTCTTACTCTGTGAACTTTCTGATAGAGATTATAATTCTCATAGAGCCAAGGCTTAATTTATCAATTCTGTACAACATATTGGATGTACCTGCATATATCTATGTGCTGATGACTAGAACAGCTACCTTAATCAGAAGTTTCCTTCATTCACCTTCAAATCTATCATTAAACTATTAATGTAATACTGTTTTTAATTTTCATTACCATATTTTTGAAAAGAGCAATCTTTCACATACCAAACAGCCCAAACTTTACATCAGTGATTATTTCGTTTCATGTCTGACATAAAAACAATATTCTTTAGTCATTCTGAGTATTTTTTCTAAAGAACAGTCAGTCCACACCTAGAGGAGGTGCTGGCCAGTCTTACCTTGCCATCTGTGGTGGTATTGATCCTGTAGTGATACACACGCCCCTCATACCTGAGCGAGATCGACAGCTGCCCGGGGCTGCTCTCACTTTCTCGCACCAGAAAACTGCCATTGATTAGACTGCTGAGCAGATACTCTGCTGCACTGCGCGACACAGGTCCATGGTACCAGGAATGTTTTTCCAAGCTGTTCACCGGGGTGATGTAGTTGCTTGGCACCCAACCTTGTCCATTCTTGGAGCGAACTTCACTCCATTCACCATTCTGGTTGTAACCAAGGACTCGTAACTTTTCACCTAGCCATAAAGTCACCAGAAAAGAGATATTAAGGGCTTTATCTCAAACAGCAGCCTACTGTCAAACTCAGACCTCAGTGAAAAACAATCAGTAACTTTCATGCCAACATTAAAAAAAAAAAAAGAAAAGAAAACAAACTTGGCTGCTCATCCTATCCTGATTGATTTCTTTAGCTTGTAGCTTAAACAAAAGCAGCATAGTCAGAAATAACCTTCTGGCATTTACTAACAGTTTTTACACCAACTAAAAAAATGTCATTAGGAAACTCCACATGTGGCGTAGTACAATGGCATACAAAGAAAGAAAGGTTATGGACCCATAACAACAGAGAACACACTGATAGTTGCCAGAGGGGAGAGGGTTGCCAGAGGGCAACCGGCAAATGGGTGAAGGGGACTGAGAATCCCTTTAGAGAATGAATAAATCATCAGGATAAAATATACAGCATAGGAAACAGTCAATGGTACTGTAATATACTGCAATACAGCATTGCATGGTGACAGACGGTAGCCACACTTGTGGTAAGCACAGCATAACATATAGAGTAAATCACTGTATTATATACCTGAAAGTAATGTAATATCGTGTTAACTATACTTCGGTTAAAAAAAAAAAAAGAAAGGTTATTCTGGAAAAGGAGAGAGTCTTATCCCTCAAAAAATTTTTCTTTTTTTCTCATAACTGTTTGTCAAGGAATGTATCTTATTTATGATTCAATGCTAGTAACAATCAAGGATTAGGGATAGTGAAATAAGAAGTTACTTCTAAATTTCAGTTAGCACCATGGCAACAGAATCATCTACATAAAAAACAAACAAAAGAAAAAAAAAGAAAATAGAAGCACGACCACAGGGCTTTCAGCAATGTTTTCAGTAAGAAAACTGCTTGGGGGGCAGGCAGTTAGAACTCCCAAAGCACATTCCGGGACTCAAGTTTTAACAGTTATAATTTCCCAACTTCCCTCCCATTCCCCATGAATATGAGTCAGTCCTATTCATTCCTCTAAAATTAGTGTGTGGGAAGGGAAGCTGACATTGAAGCTGGAACCCAAGACAAGTTACTCAGAACGTCTTTGCTTGTTATCAACGTCAATGTCCTTGACTTCTCTATTAAAGTTATGAACGTCAACTTTAACTCCTAATAGACATTTTGCCCCTAAACCTGCAGCTCAGACAAAACAGGAAAGATGAAAGACATATCATTAGTAATAACTAATAATCTAAAGAAATATTATAAGACCTTAGGCTCTGATCTCTGAGAGATGCAAGCCTTCCTTCAGAGTTCACACCTACTTCCCGGTGTCTGCAGAAGAAAAGCAAACCCATTACAAGCACATGGTCCACTAGTTATCAGGCAAAGGCCACTGAGGAAAAGCTCAAAATCATTATTCTGGCAGTCATCGAACTTTTCCAGCAGTCCACAGAAATGTTTACCATAGGATAACTTTATCAGCTCCCACTGTCTCACTACTGACACCTGGATGTGAGACATTCAATGACAAAAACATAGGAGTATTTACTTATAAAACATACATATGTACAGCTGGATAGATAGGAATATGTGTGGTATGGTTGTGGAAATACACCAGTGTGCAGATAAATACACTTCCCTGCAAGGGGAAAAAAAACAAAACTCAGTGCTACCAGAAAAGCTAAATAAAACTTGTTCCTCTAGAGCTTTCTCTACTGTACCACAAGAACTAGAAAAAGTAAAGATCAAGTGTATCACTATTGCTTCCTTATAAATAACTGGTAATGGCAGGTCAAAAACCCTAGGTTTTTGTTTTCCTCTTTTTTGGAAGTTAGGAGGAGAATTTTCTATTCTGGAAATTTTGAGTCCCATGGGAATTGACTAGTGGAGATGTATATACATTGGCCCTACTGACACAGAAATGCTGGGAGAACTCTGTTTTTTAATTCAAGCAAAAAGCAATCTTCAAAGAAGGAACTAAAATAAGTATCCTTATTTTTCAAATATATTTTCTTATCCTTTAAAATAAAATAGCGTTAGTATGACACCATTTTATATCAAAGAAAAAAAAGGGTAGAAAAATCTGGCATTTCGTGGGTTTTAAGACAAACCTCTGTTCGCCAGGAGAGAACAAGAATCCTAGCCCTTGAGCTGCACACTAACAGTTGCCATAACTGGTAACTGAGGCATCAACATACTTTCTTTATCGATGTTTCCTTGGTAACTGAGTTATCCTGGGAAATAGTGACATGAAAAGTGTATCTAGGAAAGAATGTTCTGAGTCACTGCTTCACAAAGTTCTCCACTGAAGTATCAGTAAAGATAAAAGAATGTGTTGTAGCCCAAAGAGACTACTGCACAGTATAAAATTCTTTGAAGTCTTTTGTTTTATCCTAGAACTTTGTGTAAAATTTTCCCTTGATGCATAACACACACACACACACATACAATCACACTATCATCACTATCCCTCCCCCAAAAACTTGCCCAAAGCCTTCAAGTAACTTGACATTAGGAAATCACACACATTACTTTTTCTGTACCTTTGAATCTTCCCGGCACAGGTACATGTATGTGCCTCACACCTACTCCGGGACACATCTACACCCCAGTTTGAGTTAAGAGTTTCTGCTTTTGATTAATGTGGCTGGTTTTAAAAAAACAGATGCATATAAAAATTTTATTAAAGGATAACATTCCCTGAAGGGAGGCCTGTCTTAATTTGGTGTATTCACTCCCATTTAATACCTCATTCTGAACCTTACAAATAAAAGGTATGTGTTTGACAAATTATTTAAATTATGATTTCATTTGGGCAGCTCCGGTGGCTCAGTGGTTTAGCACCGCCTTTGGCCCGGGGCCTGATTCTGGAGACCTGAGATCGAGTCCCACATCGGGCTCCCTGCATGGAGCCTGCTTCTCCCTCTGCCTGTGTTTCTGCCTCCCTCTCTCTCTCTCTGTGTCTCTCATTAATAAATAATTTTTTTTAAAAATTAGGATTTCATTTAAGTTAAATTATAATTATCCTGAAGAGGCGCCTGTGGCTCAGTCAGTTAAGCGTCTGCCTTTGGCTGAGGTCATGATCCCAGAGTCCTGGGATCAAGACCCAAGAGTCCGAGCTCCCTGCTCAGGAGGGAGTCTGTTTCTCCCCTTGCCCCTCCCAGGCCCTTCATGTTCTGTCTCTCTCACATATATTTAAATAAAATCTTTTTTAAAAATTTTCCTGAAATAGGGACGCCTGGGTGGCTCAACAGTTGGGCATCCGCCTTCAGCTCAGGGTGTGATCCCGGGATCCAGGACTGGGGTCCACATCGGGCTCCCTTCGGGGGGTCAGCTTCTCCCCCTGCCACAGGCCTGTGTCTGTCTCTGTCTCTCTCTCTCTCTGTGTCTCTCATGAATAAATAAATCGTTAAATAAAAAATTATCCTGAAATATATTTTTTCCCAGTAGGAGGCTTTCAGTTTCAAAAGAACAAACTTACTCAGATTAGCAATCCAATTCAAGGACATAATGAGAATGCCCCATGCTTCTTTCTTTCTTTCATTCTTTTTAAAGTAATCTCTCCAACCCAATGTGCGGCTCAAACTCATGACCCCAAGAGGCACAGACCTCTTTCTCATACAAGTTCCACATTTTCTATCTTTGTTCAAGAAACTAATAATGGATTATTTTACTTGGTCATGTTCTTAGAGCTTCCTTTTAAAATAATAAAATAATAGAAAATAAGAAAAATAATAAGTATAAAAACTACTACCCTCTTGAGAGCATTACTACTAGAAATCTTTCCTATTACTCCATTCATTAAGACATATAAACACAAATGAGAGATTTGTCTTGGCCAGTGCTACTCAAAGCAGGTCCACAACAAGACATGACACTTGTGCTGGAATATGTAATCACTGGACTACTTTCTTCTTGTTGAAGGTCTTGCTAAAAAAGGAAAGAGAAAAAGAAGAAAGAAGGAAAGAGAAAGAAAGAAGAAAGAAAGAAAGAAAGAGAAAGAAAGAAAAGAAAAAAGAAAAAAGAAAGGAAAGGAAAGGAAAGGAAAGGAAAGGAAAGGAAAGGAAAGGAAAGGAAAGGAAAGGAAAGGAAAGGAAAGAAAGAAAAGAGAAGAAAAGAAAAGAAAAGAAAAGAAAAGAAAAGAAAAGAAAAGAAAAGAAAAAAAAGAAAAGAAAAGAAAAGAAAGAAAAGAAAAGAAAAGAAAAGAAAAGAAAAGAAAAGAAAAGAAAAGAAAAGAAAAGAAAGAAAAGAAAAGTCAGCTGAACTAAGTGGGTATACTTAGTGATGTAGTTGGTTTACATACTGGGAACAAGTTCTTTATCTTAACAATGAGAACTGGTAACGAACTATTCTCAGACAGGAAGTCAACCACAGACAACACTTTGAGTAGCACCAGGCACTGGCAACATGACTCATCTCAGCCACAGCTCAATTAGAAGAGATGTACATAGTAAATCTTACCGTCACATAAGATGAATGCTGGCATATTACATGTAGAACTGAATTCTGAGAATGAGAAAATTATATATATATACACATATATAGACAATATACATATACATACAATTATGTGTATTTATATGTGTTGTGTGTGTGGTGTGGCTGACCAGTATATATATATTATATATATATATATAATACACACACACCATGTGGCACTTTTTCTAAAGTACTTTATCTCCTCTTACCCTTAATAAGCTGTATAAAGAAGACAAACTAACATTATCCCATACACAGGTATTTTTAAAAAACAAAAACAAAATAAAACAAAAATAATGAACCCTGAAGTATCTGGGCCAAAATCACCTAAAATCTTACCTTTAGTGATGCTGAGTGTGTTATCACCACTTGCTACAAAATCATAAAGTGCAACAAAGAGATTAGGGTCACTCTCAGTGGCTCCAAGTAAGTTCTCCTTGGAGCTCCACCTGATAGCTTCGTTCAGTGCCTGGGGTTCAACATCACAACCATAGGGGCGGTGCAAGGCTTCTGAAAGACATAAAAAGAGAAAGGAATTCACAGTAAGTTCAGCAGTTAAAAATTCATTTGAATTCAGTACATACATAGTATTGCTGCTGGTTTACATATACTGATGCTGCTGGTATGCATATACTGATGGCTCCAGGGTGGAAAAGAACTATATAATATGGAGTCATGAAGAATAAGCAAGTAGCTCTGTCTCCTAAGCATGAGAGAAATCTATTTGTTGAAAATGTGACAAGACAAAAGATCACAAAATGAGCATTTAGTTTTGATTTATATGCATTCACCAAAATAAGAAATAAACAGAAAAAGCAGTTTCCTCAAAATGGAAAAAAAACGTCAAAAGAAATAGCAATTCATTTTATAAAACATATAGGCTATTTTGTGGTGGTGGTGGTGGTTTTATAAGTCCTCCCACACTACCCTTCTTCCCTCTCTCCACATAAAACAAACTGTGGAAAAGATAACAGACTTTAAGAAATATGTACATATTGCATAAATTTAGATCCTCTATTTACATATAGAAAAATTATATAAATAGTGCTTCCAGAAAAAAACAAAAATACAAAAATAATATGTTAACATAAAAATGTTTTGGTTTAATACAAATATTCTTGGCACTCCAAAATACCTTTGTATTATGTCTATAACAGCTTCCAATTGTTAATTGTTTTAAAAGTTTTTACCTTATTTTCTTTTCCTAGGTGGTACATTTTTCTAAGTATCTTAATTGAGAGCTCATTGAAAGCTCTAGAAAATATCACCAACAATAGCCATTTGAGTGACTACCACGTGTAATGGTTGAAGCCTTGTAAAAGACATGGTTTTTTCCTCAGGCTTTATGGGTTCCTAAATTTAGTCACATTACACAAACAGGTCATCCCTATAAAGATCACCTGCTTCTCATAGCCCAGGTCACCTGCACAAAAAATACACTATGCCTTCAGTAATAATTTTCTCAATAACAGGAACTTTATAGCGGCTATCTGCCACCATCCAACTACTTATTGTGATATAACAACACTTTTCTAATCGTGTCTCTCTCTCCTTCTCCCTCTACTCATTTTTTAACTTAAAATTGACTTTATTATATTTGAAGGAGAAAACCCCTTGAATCTGTGGTTTTATTTCTTTTCAAACCCACGCCCTCCTCTCCATCTCTACTGCCAATGCCTCAGATCAGATCCCCACCATCTCTCACCTGGACTACTGCCTCCAGTCTTGTCTGCCTCAAAGCCATCCTCCACACAGCTGGCAAAGTGATCTATTTAAAACAAAAATTTGACCATGTCACTCTTCTTAAGATCCTTCAACAGTTCACCACCAAGCTAAAATCTCTTTAATGGCCTTTAAGGTCTTTTATGATCAGTTCTCTACCTAACTTCTCCAGCATTACCTTTTCTCACTCCACATCTCAAATTCTAAACTTTAACACATACCATGACACTTCCTGCTTCTTTGTGTCCTGCAATGTGATCTCATCCCACCCTTCTTTTGACTGGCTCACTTCTACTCATTTTATAACACTCAGTTCCAATGTAACCTCATCTGGGAAACCTCACCTGCTCCCCACTCCCTGTGTTCTCCAAAGCATTACACTTGCTGCATTTGTACCCTCTATCTTCATCTTTACAATTTCCTCAATTGATGTTTATTTCCCAAACCTTACAATGTACTCCTTGGCATAAGAACTGTATCTTTTTCCTAGCAAGAATACATAATATGTATTCAATACATGCTGACTGAATGACCAAATTATACAAAAATATAAGTAATGGGAAATAATGAGATGTATTTTAATCTTAAAACAGCATTAACCGGGGATCCCTGGGTGGCTCAGCAGTTTGGCACCTGCCTTTGGCCGGGGATGTGATCCTGGGGACCCAGGATCGAGTCCCGCGCATCAGGCTCCCTGCATGGAGCCTGCTTCTCCCTCTGTCTATGCCTCTGCCTCTGTGTGTCTCTCATGAATAATATGAGAGACATATTCTTATGAATAAATAATATCATAAATAAATCAATCAAACAGCATTAACCAATGTTTTAAAAATGGCTTCATGACGGTCTACAGAAATTTCTGTAGTAGGTTAGATGTGTAATTTTCCTAACAGTTTTAGAGTTTACTTCATCACATTTCTTGCTCCTCTTAAAAGGAATTTATTTTTACAATTTCAGAATTAAATTTTGTTCACATTAATAATACTATGACATGTCTGAAGGTATGCCCAAATGTCCTAAAAACTTAAGGTGAATTAGATATATTGCTCCTTGTTTAAACACAGTTAACCAATTAGGATTACCAAATAAAATACCATATTATGTGAAATATTATGTGATTATGTTTCTCTTTATTCTAATGAGAAAGTATACACTCTAGCAGAATTTCCATGGAGCTACAAAATTCCAATCCTTTATTAAAATGAAAAGAACTTCCAAAGAGTATAGAGAATATTTGTAATATTTATTAGGTTCTATACTGAGTATCACATGATCCTCACTAATAAGTGTTTCTTTCCAGTGATGATGTTAACATTATGACATTTTGTGATTATTACTCTGTTTAATGATTATCAAACAGTTCTTTTTTTTAATTTTTTTATTTATTTATGATAGTCACACACAGAGAGAGAGAGAGAGAGAGAGGCAGAGACACAGGCAGAGGGAGAAGCAGGCTCCATGCACCGGGAGCCCGATGTGGGATTCGATCCCGGGTCTCCAGGATCGCGCCCTGGGCCAAAGGCAGGCGCCAAACCGCTGCGCCACCCAGGGATCCCGATTATCAAACAGTTCAAGTACATTTTCTTCCTTTGGGATAGACATCCCCCTTGTTTGAAGGGTAACAAGAACTTTTGTACTATCAGTGACCAAGTTAGTTCTTGCCTCAGCAGCACATATAGTAAAACTGTAGTGTCAGTGACCAAGTTAGAAATAATAATTAAGCAGACATTGAAGGCAACTCTTAAATCCTAGCAGGCCAAAACCAGCAAATGCCAGACAATTATACCTTACTTTGTGAAACCCAATATAGAACACTTAAGGTTTACAAAACCAATAATTTTAGTGAACATCTACCATATGTCATCCAGACCTTCAGAATATAAAGATCATAAATCATTAATAACACTACTTGAACTTACTACAAGAAACCACTCTCCGTTCTTTCCCCCAAATCTCCTTCACCAACAGAATTCCCCAACTCAGTTAATGGCAATTCCCTCTTTTTAGCTGCTCAGGCCAAAAACCTTGAAGTTTGAATACAAACTTCTAGCTATTAAATGAATAAATTCTGGGTATCTAACATATAGCACAGTGATATTACTACTGTATTATATACTTGAAAGTTACTATATTACTCTTGAGAGCAAATATTCATGCAATATGTAAGTATCAAATCAACCACACTGTACATCTTAAACTTACACAATGCTTTATGTCAATTATACCAATAAAGCTGGCCGGGATGGAACAGGGGAAGGGGGCAGATAAAAAACCTCAGAATCACTCAGGACTCCTTTTTTTTGCTTTCACATGCCACAATTAATCCATATGGAAATCCTATTGGCACTACCTCCAAAAATATACCCAGAATCTAATCCATTTCTAACCCCCTCCACCACCACCACCCAATTATCACCCTCATCTCTGTACTGAGTTTCACCACGCTCCTGATTTCCATACTTCTATCCTTTCTTATTCTCTATTCTCAACACACCAGCCAGTTTTTATTTTTTTATTTTTTATTTTGTATTTAAGATTTTATTTATTCATGAGAGGCACACAGAGAGAAAGAGGCAGAGGGAGAAGCAGGCTCCATGCAGGGAGCCCGATGTGGGACTCGATCCTGGGTCTCCAAGATCCCGCTCCGGGCTGAAGGTGGCACTAAACTGTTGGGCCACCAGGGCTGCTCACCAGCCAGTTTTTAATGCATAAGTCAGATTGTGTTACTCTTCTGCTCCAAACTCTTTGGTGACTCCCTACCTTAGAGTAAAAGGGCAAAAGTCTTACAAAAGCCTACAAGGCTCTTCACAACTTGTCTTGCCTTTACTTGTCTGTGCTCTTCCCCTAGATTACCTCATTCTGGACACTGGCCTCCCTGCTACTACTTGATTGAACAAGGCAGGTATACTTCTGTCTAAGACATTTACGTGATACTTCACTCAAATGTGAACCCGCTTGGTACAGCATTCTCTGACTATCCTATTTTAAAATACAGCTATTCCTGACAACACTCCCACATCCCCCCATGTCTCCTTCCCTAGTTCTCTCCATAGTTCTTATCACAAACAATATAATTTACTTATTATTACATTCATGTATTATTATCTCACTCCCTCCAACTAAAATATCAATTTTATAAGGACAAGGATTTTTGTCTGTTTTATTCACTGATAAATTCCAAGCACCCAGAACAGTGCATATATATGAGAATCTCTCAAAAAACATTTGTTAAATAAATGAATTGTGTACTGTTACACTCACATGCTGTACCGCTATAAGACGACAGAATAAAAAACAAAACTCTAGATCAGAAAAGGTTTCAGAGAAAGCACTTAAATTTTGATGAGCAGGAATTGTGCACTGATGACAGAGTGACAGGCTGTCAACGTGCAAGGACATGTCTACAATATGTGATTCATCTGTACTGGAGACAAGCTCCATCAAGTTCAGAGGAGGTTTGCTAAAAGCAAGTTCAGCTTCTTAAAAACCACATTATTTGAAAAAAGGCGAAAAGCACAATTTGATGTAAACTTTATTTTTTCTAAAGATTTTATTTATCTGACAGAAAAACAGAGCCAGAGAACACAAGCAGGGGGAATGGCAGAAGGAGAGGGAGAAGTACACACCCCAACAGGGAGCCTGATGTGGGATTCAATCTCAAGACCCTGGAATCATGACCTGAACCAAAGGCAGACGCTCAACCACTGAGCCACCCAGGCACCCCTTGGTAAACTTTAAAAGATGTATATAGGCCAAATAATACTGTACATTTCTCAAATATACAAAATAACAAATACAGGATAAAAGTAATTTACGAGGCCAAAGTACTAAAAGAACCATGACTTGGAAAATAATATTTTCATTCCCCACTCCCCTTCTTCCCATCTCTGCTTCTATGATCTTTTCGGTCACGTCAAAGATCTTATTTCCTTCCTTTCTTCTTTTTTCCCACTCGTGCTTTTGTTCTCATAGAACTAAGGGTCAATTTCCTGCACAATCTGTCTGCACAGGATATCCACTTAAACACCATCCTATCCGCTAGCACCAAAAAGGGAAAATGTTTCAAAGACAAAAAACATCCTAACATTTTCCTGAGGCCAAGTATGAACATGTACTGAATCATAAAGAGTTAAAGAACTAAATGCAAGAAAACAAGCTAAGGAATAAAAGCAAAAGGGGGGGGGGGGGCTATCGGAAGAGCAAGTAAATGTCACAGTGTTACCCAGTAGGTCTACTTTATGCCACTTTCCTCATCGGCTTAAAACAGACACATCTGGATGATTCAGATGTACTTTGCTCAAATGCAAGTGTGAAGGCTGGGAATGGCTTTTTTTTTTTTTTAAACAATGTGAGGTGACTACTATGTATTGGGTACTTTAGTGGGTTAATCTTTCATTAATCGCTGTTATTGAGGTAGATCATGGGCTTCAGATAAGACAACAGAAGACTCAATTTTCACTTATGCAATACAGAACCCAGGTAGCAAAAATACGACTATTAAGTAATTTTATTACTTTTTTCCAATAGACTTGCAGAAGACAATAAAAATATGGCAAAACAAAGCAGTTTGTACAAAGTAAGTTACCAGGATTAAACAAGTTAAAAATCCAGAATAAGACTCAAATTCAGAGATAATTCCTAAATTTAATTTTTAATTTTATTAAAAACCATTGTCACCAACTACTTGTTCAAAAACTTTTATCAGTTTAATTAGAAACTTGTCAGGTAAGGAACTGGAGAAATAAATATAAAAAATTTTCAGTTAAGGCATTTATTTCCAAGCATTCTAAAAACCTTATCTTGGCAGAATTCTACTTTATCTGATTGCACATTCTCTAAGAAGCTACTACTTTTTAATACCTCTTTTAAGAACTATGTAAGGTGGTTGGATAAATCATTCAACAGTTCTCAATATAGCTTAACTCTTCATATCAAGCCATATACATCTTAATATCACAAAATATTACATATTATTCATTTATTCTTTCTTTCAGTAAGTACTTACTGAGATCCTACTATGAAATACCAGAAAAAAAAGCACATAAA